AGTTGCAAATCACAATGGAATTCTGTCGACCACACATGCACGAAAAACAGTTGAAACCCCATTTACAATGCGGAACCGATCCGACCATGATCCGAGAATATCCGAGAATGATCCGACCACACACGAGACAGTCTCGCACCCGTCGCACCGCAGAGGTAGATCATCGACGTTCGGGGACGGACTTTGTATGGAAAAACATAGGGTTTCGTGCATCTGCTATCTCTCAAAAACGCATTTCGTGCGAGACTTCCTTCAAAACTCCATCTGCAACTCATCCACAGGCACCAACTTGCAATCCCATTTCAGTGAGGGACGATCCTACAGTTGCAAATCACAATGGAATTCCATCGACAACTCATCCACCAGCACCACTTGCAACCCCGTTTACAATGTGGGAACGATCCTACAGTTGCAAATCACAATGGAATTCTGTCGACCACACATGCACGAAAAACAGTTGAAACCCCATTTACAATGCGGAACGCATCTCGACCATGTCCGCCCATGATCCGCCCTTGATGATCCGACCACACACCGAGACCGTCTCGCACCCGTCGCACCGCAGAGGTAGATCATCGAGGTTCGGGGACGCACTTTGTATGGAAAAACATAGGGTTTCGTGCATCTGCTATCTCTCAAAAACGCATTTCGTGCGAGACTTCCTTCAAAACTCCATCGGCAACTCATCCGGCAGCACCACTTGCAATGCCATTTGCATTGCGGGAACGATCCTACAGTTGCAAATCACAATGGAATTCCATCTGCAACTCATCCACCAGCACCACTTGCAATCCCATTTACAATGCGGGAACGATCCTACAGTTGCAAATCACAATGGAATTCTGTCGACCACACGTGCACGAAAAACAGTTGAAACCCCATTTACAATGCGGAACCGATCCGACCATGATCCGCCCATGATCCGACCACACACGAGACCGTCTCGCACCCGTCGCACCGCAGAGGTAGATCATCGAGGTTCGGGGACGCACTTTGTATGGAAAAACATAGGGTTTCGTGCATCTGCTCTCTCAAAAACGCATTTCGTGCGAGACTTCCTTCACAACTCCATCGGCAACTCATCCACCAGCACCACTTGCAATCCCATTTGCATTGCGGGAACAATCAATGCCCTAACTAACTCTTTCTGTGACTAACCCTTTCCCTGACGAACTCTTTCTTTGCTAACTCTTTCTTTGACTACCTCATATATCCTGACTAACTCTTTCTTTGACTACCTCATATATCTTGACTAACTCTTTCTTTGACTACCTCATATATCCTGACTAACTCTTTCTTTGACTACCTTTTTCCCTGACTAACTGTTTCTTTGACTAACTCTTTCCTTGACTAACTCTTTCTTTGACTACCTCATATATCCTGACTAACTCTTTCTTTGACTACCTTTTTCCCTGACTAACTGTTTCTTTGACTAACTCTTTCCCTGACTAACTCTTTCTTTGACTAACCCTTTCTTTGACGAACTCTTTCTTTGACTAACTTTTTCCCTGACTAACTGTTTCTTTGACTAACTCTTTCCCTGACTAACTCTTTCTTTGACTAACTCTTTCCCTGGCTAACTGTTCTTTGACTAACTCTTTCTTTGACTAACTCTTTCTTTGACTAACTCTTTCCCTGACTAACTGTTTCTTTGACTAACTCTTTCCCTGACTAACTGTTTCTTTGACTAACTCTTTCTTTGACTAACTCTTTCCCTGACTAACTGTTTCTTTGACTAACTGTTTCTTTGACTAACTCTTTCTTTGACTAACTCTTTCTTTGACTAACTCTTTCTTTGACTAACTCTTTCTTTGACATTCTAAAAGTCCGTAACACGGAAGTTTCTCCCACTAAACTTCCTTTGATAATATAGATTTATACAATATACATATATCTTATATACAATATACATTTATACAATATACATATATATATATATATATTTACAATATACATATACATATACTATATATACATATATATAATATAATATATTATATGTATAATACACGTCATTGCGTATAGAAGTTATCGCAACCGCAAAAATAGACAAAATTTATTCATCTACCATTGTTTTAGAGTTGAAACTTACCAAAATTTGTTGGTGTTTTCAAATATGTTTCATGTTCATCCTTAGAAATGAAATGACGATCCTCAATGCTACGACTCACATCCCATTATATCATATACTATCCCCACAACATTCCCATATATTTCCATATGTTTCCTAGTTAAATCATGTTAACTTACCATTTTTCATGATCATCATCCCTAGAGAAAACGACTTATATAGGTGATGTGGCCGATGCCATTGTTGACCTGGGTGTTGCAAGCGACGAACAGGTGGAGGACCGGAAGTTTTTTTACCAAAAAAAAATAAGTTGGACATGATTGAAATCAATTGGATTTAGATTGGATAGATGATGTTAGATGATGTTCGGTGGTTGGATGTGTTTTGGATTGGAATAGGAATAGATTGTCGGAATGGATTGAAGTTAGAAATTATAGTAACTCCAAATTCCAAATGAAAGATGCCGAGAGTGTGTTTCCAGGATACTAGTTCGATGATATTTCGTTCTTATGTCCAGATTTGCAACTGTTCTATCTATTCTGGGGTTGCTATAGATTGGAATAGATCAGAACAGATTGGAAGCTACTTCGGAACCTCCAGTTTGTTTGCATTTTTTAAGGAGATTCGTCACTTTGGGATGATAAACAAATCTGGTCCGACCAGCCAAACAGGATTTCTGAGGTTTTGGAAACCAAGAGAGGAGGATATGTGCAACGCGGATCAATGACTTCCCAAAACGCGGAAGTACAACATGTATCACCCATTGATCTTTGGATGTCTCATGATATTTCAGGAGTTAACGAAACTGCAAATCAGTTTTTCGGTTGCAGTTGTTGTTGTTGATATATGATCTCAAAGCACCCCAAGGAGTCGAGTTGTTTGGTTGCCCAATGCGCATGAGCAGGCCCTGTCATTTGATGATTGTATGGGGGGATACACATGCAAACACTATCCGGTATCTTGGAGCTTATCACAATCTACATATTTTCATACGGAATTCTGCAAAAATGGACATGTGTGTGATTCTTAGGATATCAGTGCGGATTATGTATGCCCAGTTATTAGTAGGTTTGACCCCTTTCCATATGTTTCATGAAAAGAGGTATGTCCCAAGTGCTTGTTGGTCGACCAGCCATTGTTTATTGTTCATTACATTTTCCCATATTTCGGTTTTTGAGTCAAACATTTTTGACCAGGTTTCTCATATTTCTGAATGATTGTTTTGCTGGTGAAATCACAGGTATGTTCCCGGTATTTAAGTTCCCTTCTTTTTGGTGACACAAGTTTGGAAGCTTGTTTTCTTTATGATCGTTCTCCAAACATCTTCATGTTAGTTTTTGCCATTTTCCATTCCCCAGTGGTTTCCCATTTTCCAATAAACTATGTTAATTTACAGGCTAAGGTCATTGACTTTTGCTCAACAGCCCCCAGCCCCAACCCCTCAGCTCGCAGGAATTGGTGGCGCAGATGGACACGGAGAACACGGGGCAGATCGACCGGGAAGAACTGTTTGACGCCTTGATATCGCCCAAGAGTCCCTCAACTCATGGGAAGTTCAGGGGAAAATGGAGCTACGATTCGTACCATGTAAAGGCCATATTATAAAGGAGATGATGACCATAATATATTTATATATATATATGGTTTATAGTGGTTAATAGTGGTTTAAAAATGACCATTACTTCAGCAAACAAAGTTGGGAGAAGAAAAGGGGATTTAACCAGGGTATATCCCATTAGTTTACCATTATATCCCATTAAATTTATCTCCATTATAATCCCAATTCAATCACCATTCTTGTTGGTCACCCTTTGGTAAACTAACACAGCCATTGAACATGGCCCAGCCGAAATCTCGTTGATTTACTCAGCTATTTAAAATGGTGATGTGGTGATGTGCCACGGTTTTTTGTATGTGTAAATAAGGCCATATCTTGTGGGGATCTGAAATTGACTATGAATGAACTAGATTAATTTCACATAACCTATGGATTGTAGTTGTAAATCCCAATATGACCATTAGTTTGGTTTTTGCTAACCTATGGTACTCACCGCATGCACCAGAGGCTCCGTGAAGCAGATCTATCGAAAGCTTCGCAACGGCATCGCAATGGAGATGGTGCCGCGGAGAAAACCAACGGTAAATGATGGGTTTGGCGAGGGAAACCGCAACAACATATTGTGGGTTGATTTTGGTAAATAATGATCTTTTTAATATGGGTGATTGTAGTAGATAATGCTAGTGACATATTGATAAGTACAATGTGGGGCCTCCTAGACAACTAAGTTGGTTTATAACTCCAATAACTATGGTTTACTATACTTATAACATCTTATAAGTATAGTGAATGGGGTTTATAGACCAACTTATAACTGGGGGGGCCACATTGTAGAATGCTGTTATCTTTATCATGGGTTGATTATGATACATGGTGAATTTGACCTTCATCATCAGTGTTCATGGAAACTTGATTGAAACTTAAGTGAAGACGGTCAGTTCAATATTCTGATGTTTTTGTTGCGACAAGGTGTCCTAAAATGGGGATACCCCAATAGCTGGATGATTTATTTCATGGATCCTATCCTATTGGAAAATGGATGATCTGGAGGTAACCTCATGTTCGGAGACCTCCATGTGTTTGCAGAAGAAATCCCCAGCAACTTGAATTCTCTCACCCATATATATATTATTATATATATATATATTATTATATATATTATTATATATATATATGTATATCTTATATAATTTATATATATATATATTGTAAAAATATATTATATAGATATAGATATGTATAGATACATCTATATGACCCAGATACATCCCATTGTATTTCTATGGCGGCCATGGCCATAGATCATCCATAGGTCCACCGTATCTTTTCCAGGCCGATAGCTGGTTTTCGAGCGATGCAGGAGCGTTCCGGGTTTTATCAGCATGGGACTGACATTGGAAGCTGCAAAAATGGTGATTTCATGGGATTTAAACAAGAAAAAACGGTGATATCGTGGTGGTTTACCCATGCATTTTTTTGGATTTGACCAGCAAATTGCTGGCGATATAAAATGGGATATGAAATTAGGGATTTGACCAAGAAAAAGAGTGATATAATAGCCTTCTGGTAATCCAACATAGCAATGGGAAATCCACCATCCAGTTCGATGATTTTCCAATGAAAGCCTCCGTTTGTAGAGGATTTCTCGTGCCACGTTTGATTACCGGATGGTAACCACAAAAATGAAAATAGTGGGATAATTGGATATCATTGGTTTATAGTAAGGAAATAGTAGGGATAACTATTGAGATGTATAACCAACAAGATGGGTGCGTGTTTGAGAATGATGATTTAATCGACAATAATGGGAGTTCAACCAACAATAATAAGTATATCTTGGGGATATAACCCAACTTTTTTTGGGTGTGTGTATGAAAACGGAGGATATCCACAAATAGACATGTTAGTTGGGAAAATGATGAGAAAGCATGGGATTTGGATGGCCATGATTTTTACGGCAAACCCATGCATCAATTGCTTCGCATTTCTGGTACTTAGTTTTGAGATTCAGACCCCCGCTTTATCGGTCAAACCCTCCAAAGCAATGGTCAGAACTGGATGCTAGGTAGATACATCTCCAACAGCTACATGACTCACTTTACCTTTACAGTGAGAATCTGCCATTTATCCAGGTGTAAAGTTGACCCATCGAAAATCGCTGACGCGGGAATTGCGTGCAAATTGGCAGTGGGCATGAAACCCGTTGGTGTTTCTTAGCATGCCCTATGGATTTAAGTACCTTCTGAAAGGAAGTATGACTGGGGCATGGATCCATAGGGATGGTACCAAATTAAGCTTCACTATCCCACTATCCGGGCATGGAACATGAATGGCCCTCCCACGGCACCAGCCCGGGTAGAAGGCTCTCAAATCTGATACCTTGGTGAACGGCCAGAGGACCTATCCATTGCCCGTTTCTTTTTTGTTGTTTAATATACAAGATCCAATGGATAGCTAAGTTGGATTAAATTTCCATATTTTCAGTATGGTTTATACTTATAACAAACTAGTATTCATGGGGGTTCTAAAGCACCAAATATCATGAAGATCCTCCAAGGTGTACCCACAAGCCCTAGCCCATTTGTAAGTCAACTTTGCTATCTAGGGGGCCTCTCCTGGTGCATATATTGCATATACTTAAATATATATATATATGGTAGTGCTTTTTTGAAACTATACTGGTATATATTATATTACATTGTATTATATTATGTTATATTAGATTAGATTACATTGTATTATTATATTACATTATGTTTTATTAAATACTCTTACCCTTATATCTCTTTACACCATAGGACCAGGAGATATGTATCCGACTCCGCATCTTCCCTCAAAGGAGATCAGAGCGAGCCGACCTTATTCGAGTCTTCGGAGGAAGCTGATGAAAGGCCGCTGATGCAGGCGTTTCTTGGTTCCAGGCGGTGCTTTGAAGATGTGGTGTCCCAATATGAGATGTGGGTTGGTCCGAAGACGGGTAAAATACCCCCATAACAGTTCATCATGATTCTTCTCAGTTGAATTTCAACTTTGGAATATACTGTACCTCATTTCGAGATAAGCAAACATGATCAGTTTTCCAGTAAGAAATGTCTTGAAAAAACTCATGAACACTTGACACCATGACAACAGCTGCAATCTATGACGCGTGTTCTGCATTTTTTATCCACCAGGACTTGTTTCTGGGTTTGTCTGAACATAGCTCTAAATCCATTGGTGATTCATAAGTTTCCCTATTCAAAGTACCATTTGGAGGTTTTTTTTCTCCACTATTTTCAGACAGTGGTTAGGAGGGAGCTGCTCGGAGCGCTAATATCAATGTTGCGTATACTAAATGGGTAACCAAGGAGCTACTGTCACACTTAAGAGTTTACATTTAAAAAAATATGATAGTGGAGGTGCTTATATGCAAGCTCTTGTGGGATGCTCTTAGGATGTTCTTGTTTAAAGATTTTGTAGAGGTTCTTGCCATGAGGGTTTGCCAGCAGATGTGGGCCACTGAGTACTGTGGTAAACCCAATAGAAAACCTCACTTAGGGAAACACCTCGGGCAACAGCTATTCTCAGGTGAGTGAATGACTGTAATTCATCCAGATTATATACCATTATTATATACTGTTGGTCTGTAATGGTATACCACCACAGATTATTGTATACCACTATTTTAGACCATTAATATGTAATTTCCCTATGGATCCAGCCGTACCTTCTCAGATAGTGTTTGGATCCATAGGGATCCATAGGCTATATGTATTCAGCCAGAAATGTATATATGTATATATATATATATACCATATCCCCACCCCCTCAACCTAGGTTTTTTTGGGGGACCTTACAATATGTAACTCACATTTGGGACAGCCCCAGATCGCCACTGAGGCTGTCCCCCAGACGCATGAGCTTGGCCTTGCCGGAGCAGCTTGGAGTCGCGATGGGCTGCCAGGGTTCCAGGGTCCCAACGTGGGTGGTTAATAACCTTAGTAAGTCCCATATGAACAGCGGGGTTATTGTAATATAATATACATATATATATATATGTGTGTGTGTGTGTTATGGGATAACAACCCCAGTTACTAACCAGTTATATGATACTTCTAGAATACCAGGTTGTCAATAAGCCGATACGGCACCATTGACTTGTTGACCAGTTAAAGACTGTTAAAGTGGGCTTATCCCTAATATGGGTATTGCCTGTGGGGGGCCCACAAAAATAATCCAATATTGGACCCTTTTAGTATTTACGGCGATCTAATGGGGATATCCTGGGGATACGGCCACTGACCTTGGCCTTAGAATGCAAGATAACGGGATATTGATTGGATATCATTCGATTTATACGGTATACAATATGTGAAAATCATATATATATATATGTATATTATATATATATAATAGTGGGGTTATAATAACATGGGAAATGAGATATCTAACCAACAATATACAACTGCGTGCCTGAAAATATAGGGTTGGCCCCCCAGTTATGGATAGGGACAATGGTGATTTACCACTAGATCTAGGGGTACCCAATTTCAGAAAAACCCAATTGATTCAAGATTTCCACCCTGAATGTTCGGGAAGTAAAAAAAATCAGAATACAGATTCACATTCTTGAGAAGCAACTTTTTCAGAAACTGCCTAGTGGACACGTGGTGGAGCCGGGTCATGTATGTTGCTGGTTTCAAGTATTAGATGTATTAGTGGGTTTGTCTGAAAATTGGGTATAGTCCCAATTATAGCCATTTAATAGGGATAATGATCACTAACCATTGGGTTTAGGGGTACACTATTTTCAGACACACCCATGTATTAGTGATGTTCAAGGATTGCTTGGGACGATGATACGAAGAAAAAAAACGATATCGTTGGTTCTTGGATCATCAGCCACCATGCCTTAAGGACGCCTGACAGCGTGGCCCGGGGACTCGGATCAGGGGGAATTGGTTGATGTCAGGATTGTCACCATGTAAAATGATAGATGGACTTGTTTGAACATAAGGCGCCCCATCTGATGGATTATATATGGCTTATATCGGATTCTCATCACTTTTCTCACTTAAAGGCAATCAGATGCGGTAGATATAAAAAATGCACCGTTGGTGCAAAAACACCCCATCTGGTTGGTGCTTTGGAACATGTTTTATTTTTCATTATTTTTCCCATCATATTGGGAATGTCATCATCCCAACTGACGATTCGTCATATTTTTCAGAGGGGTAGGGCTATTCTCGACAAGGAAAACATGCGATTGTGGCATGGCATGACTCAAGCATGGCGCAACTGGAAAATCCCATGGAAATCCCATGGAAATCCCATGGAAATCCCATGGAAATCTGGAAATCCCATGAACATCTGGAAATCCCAACATCTGCAGAGCCAAGGCATACCATGCAATGCCCAGTAGGCCTTTGAGCGCTCCAATTCGCGGGGAACTTAGCCACATCAAACAGTGTGTTGTGGTCAAATTGTCCACTACTTGTAGCATTGCAGTGCTCTTTTTGGGGTCTCACTGGTGTTTGATATGCCCAGGGTTTTTCATTGTTGATACCAGCATGCTCAGCAAGTTCACCAACACGGGCATTTTTTTCATCAGGTGCCGATTATACCATCATCATGTTAGTTTAGGACGCCATGTTTGCTGGCATATCCCAGGTGTTGTGACATTTTCGCTGGTCAATACGGATGACATGAGGGTCCCTCATAGTGCTGGGGAAATCGCCATATCCATTGGTTTCAATGGGAGATCTTCAGGATCCTAAAATGGAGGTACTGTACCATATAAGGCCATATATTTTGTGGTGATATTCCCTTACATAGGCCTAAAATTTATAGGCCAAAAATATCTGGAATCGGTAGCTCCAATTTTTATCGGTTCCAGTTCGTCATGGCCATTGATTAGAACCAGCAGATCCAGCATGACTCCCTGTTGCTTAGGTGGCAAGGTCATCCAGAGACCCCTCACGCCTAAGCCCGTAGGCGTGTTTTTCGCCGCGAAGCTGGTGTGAATGGCAAACATGGGGGATTTTAATGGTTTCAAGTTCATACTGAACTATGGTCTATGCCTATTACCTAATGGGCATTTCAAAGTGATTCAAAGCATGATGGCAAACATGAGAAGTTGATGAACCATAGTTTTTTTCTCAGCCCCCAACAACCCTATAGTTTCTCATCCTTTTCCCCATTTTTTTTAAAAAAAATCAGCTGTCTATTTTCAGCGTGGTCCCGAGATTGCTCGGATGATCTGAAGAGATCCGCGGCCGGAATTCTGAGGTTGACGAACTATGGTAAACAAATATAGAAACAAAAATATACCCTCTGGTAATTTGTTACATAGCTATTGAAAATCACCATTTTTGATGGCTAAATCAGCTATAAATGGCAATGTTCAATAGTTATGTTAGTTTACCAGAGGGTATATATACATATATGGATATGGGACTGGAACAATATACAATATCCTGTATGTAATATAATATAATATATATATATATAAACATAAAATACGTCTCTGTGCGTGTGCTTTCCGATTCTTCTTGATAATAAAAAGTCTGGGAAAAGTCGTGTTTTTTCTTGGTATATTAATGGATATATTATCGGAATTATATGGGACATGAACGGGAATAGTTTGGGATACTGTAAGGCAATATTCACAAGATATCCAAGACGTATGGGATCAAGTACTACGGGATAATGCTGGGATTATCGTATATTAATGGGATAGTCATGGGCTTGGAATGGGTTTATGATGGAGTGTGTATATATATAGAGAGAGAGAGCACCCAAAAGGATACAACAGTTGGACAGCTGGAAAATATGGGGGCAGCATCATCGAAGCATCCTTTTTCAACACGTGAAACGGCTTGCGACGGTCTTGACAGAATTCACCATGCATCTGTTGGGATGATACATCTGCAAGGTATCAATGAGTTAACTTCAGGAATCATCCAGCGGATTCACATTCCCAGGGGATTGAGTTTTTTTCCGCAAATGCGATTTAATACGGGCAAAACAATAATATAAATAGGATTAAATAGGTATTGTTTTACCCACATTATATATAAATGGGAAAATGATCCATAAATATCAGTTAAGTTGATACATGATCTTTCAATGTATCTAGAAAAATATCCCCTAATCTTCCAATTGCTGTCCTTGCTATCTAGTAATAACCAGGGGAAAACCAGGGTTTCCAATTTGAAACATCCAATCCCCCGCGACAGGGAAGTTCCACGCCATGCAGTGTCGCATTCGACGCAGACAGCTCCGCGACTCGTCCCGACTGCGAAGAAAACGTGTGTTTGGTACCGAAACATGATGGTTTGTAGAGTGGTTAATCATGGTTAATCGTGGCTTAACAACTGTTTCATAGTGAATTCCACTGGGCAATCATAATCTTCCCACTAAACATGTTTTTTTGTTGGGAGATGTGTTCCATTTTCAGACACACCCAAATATAGAATGGGACAACGGACAACCCCCTTCTGTGCAGACTTAAAGCTTACTTTGGGGTTGTTTTCTTGTCGTAGCTATAGCTGTTACAACTAAATCATCAAAAACACGTATTTAGAAGATACCCGTTTGTACTACCAAAATTTAATCTTGTTCACTGGAAATATAAAACATGTGTAAGACCCCAAAACATGAACTAAATCTGCCCATGGTAAGGGTTTATTAATGTTTATTACATGGATGAAAGTTCGATATATAGATAGTGATATACATATACGTATAAGATTTCCGTAGATTTCCTAGGTTCAGGACATTCAGAAACCTGGATTTATGTTTTTTTGGATCTTGGCCATACGTAAAATAGTTTCGAAGAGGGGTGGGGATGGTGGGGCTCGGGGACAGGATAAAAAACTGAGATGTTGCATAAATATGACCGGTCAGTTCATTCCAGCTGGGAGTCCTGGGAGATAAGGATTCTAACTTTTTTTAAATAGATGTTTGATGTTATAAATGATATTATAAATGATGTTATAGCTAACATCTCCAAGATTTAACATCCAGGTGTTTTCTATGTTGATAGGCTGGAGCCCAAGGAAATCATCTTGATTTCGCGGTTGGTTTTTCCAAGGAGTGAAGCTCCCTGGGCGGTCCAAAGGGGTATTTTAGAAGAAAAGGTAAAACCGGGTTAGCCATGGAACATGTTGCTTTTCTTTGTCTTTGGATACATTTAGATCTTTAAATCTCTTGCAATGCCTTTTTCGCCACCTTTTTTCTTGTGTTTTGTATGTCCCAGCATCCCCGGCATCTTCTCGCGTCCAAGGGAAGGCTCTGCGCGTGCACAAGGCGCTGACGGAGACCCTGGAGACAAAGGGAGACCTGGATGCCGACGTTCACGACGTTCAAGAGACGCTTGGTGAAAATGCTATACTTGAAGTTGCGGATAGCTAGTGACGAAGTGGTGAATGTATTCAATATAAGTTCAATGATATATGTATATATGCAATAAGATTGGTGCTAAGTATCATAAGTATCCTGGTGCGGGATGAGCATATGTAAATGAAAAATAATGAAAACATATATATATATAGTATGTATTGAAATTCATACATCACTATTCATATACATGGTTAATAAATATATATATATATCTTGGTTGCTGACTGATTGTTTAGATTTAAAAAACTCCCTGGGGCCATTGGGATGACCTGAAAATCATGGGAGCTCCGAGCTTCGCTGATAATCATGACATCCATCATGACATCATGACATCCATATGGAGATGCTTGTTTCATGGTGTTTCAATACTAAAATCCTCTTGGATTTGGGGAGTAGCACATGGTAGCACTGATATAAATTGATGTACCCTCTGGTAAATTAACATAGACCCTGAAAATAGCCTAGTTTTAATGGAAACTAATCTTCCAACCCCTATCTGCCAGGGCCTATGTTAATTTACCAGAGGGTAACTTATATACCTTCTCCCAGGAAGAGTTCCAGATGGCCCTTGTCCAGCCCTGAGCCACGACCCATGATCCGCAGACGCCTCGTTTGAAGTCACAGCGAACGTTGGACCTCCGATGTCGACTCGTGGTTTTTCTGATAGGTATCCATAGGTATGTCAAAAAAGACTGACAGATGGAGTAGCTCCCATAATTTCCCAGTTTCACACTACAATGATTCTGTACAAATGCGAGTAAACTGTTCGGAAATGAGTCGACAGTGAAACATAGCATGTTTTATCCATTCATAGATGACTTTTTGAATCTTTCTGATATGTTTGGCTCCTGGCTTCTGCTTGGCATGTCTTTAAAAAGCTGTCTCACCATGCGATCCCCATGTCACACCGTTGGGGAAGAAGCTGTTGCCTTTCCCAGGGTCCAGTCTTTCAAAAATTAACACCTACCTTAAATCAAAAACTGGGTCAATCATCAATAGTTGACTCATGTGAATATGACTGAATATGAATAGTCATTCATATTTATCCCTAACCTTCCAGTTGCATCTGAGATAGGCAGCAGTTTTTGCTGCACATCTGAAGGTTCAATGAAGTTCAACATGAAAATTTGCGTATACAGAAGCAAGACTCAGTTTTTTCCTCACCCAAACCTTACTAAACATGATTTTGTCTTGTTAGTCTCAGCACCGGCGGTTCGAGTTCCCAATTCAGCTGTCAAGCCTCTGGCAAGTGAAAAGCGCGATGCCCGAGCTCCACTTTGTCAGCGAAAAAGGGATGTCGGGAGACTCCGGTGGCGAAGCACCGGACCTGTCTTCGAAACTGGGGGAATCTTCCATCATGGTGATGACTGGGGGATGGTTTGTTGTTGTTTTACCCACATTACTATCTTTATCATTATATTTGTTAAACTTGGAAATCTCAACAGGGATTCTGAATAATTTCTGAATAATTTGGAAATGTCTAGCCACAATAGCGAACCTAGCTACTCATCAGGATGCAACATTGTGCCCGCAGCATCTGGACTCTGTGGATTTGATTTGATGCTGAGCCACCTCTGCTTCCTGTTTCCAGTGACTGCGTGAGGAAATATTGCTTTTAATGATCTTAAAGGGCTCCACATGCAGGTATATTCTGGTTGATCCGGGGAAATGTGGTTTTGTATCCTAGTTTACTGTTTTCCTACTGGCCTTCTTTGTATTTGTTCCATGTTTCCTCTTTGGTTGTGTTCTTCCTACTTACCGGGTATGTTTCAGATAGATTTTCTGTTGTTCCATGGGAAGTGCTCTGAGTTTTTGCAGAGACTGCGAGGATCAAGGGGTAGATTTGACCCTCGGATCCACAATGGTCGTAAGGAATTGTCGGTGCCTCATGTATTCAACACGTTGTTGAGACAAGTGGTTCAGACCAGAAGCCTTTCATCCGAACAACTGTTTGCCCCAACAAACCATCATAGTAGAGAAAGGATGTGTGGCGGCCAAATATTTCTTCACGTCGTTGTTGCCATCACCGCAGGCAAAACCACCAGGATCCCGACATGGCCCTAGACATTTTGGCTCAGCAGCCATGAAGCCATTGATAAAAATAATTAAAATCAACTCCACCAGCCACAAGCCCAAGTTGCTGTTTCGTCAAGGAAAAAGACAGCATCTTCCAACTCAAAAGAACCCGGCAGCAAATTACTCCTGAAAATGCCCGAGGTTCCCAGAGCAACCAGCAAAACAGATCTTGTGAACCTGCACCGGCCTATCATGGCGATGTATGTGCAGGCAGGGTGAAATGGAGTGCGAAAAGTTCGGCAGGGTTGGAGCTCACATTTTTGTTGGAGAAACATCTTAAGCAAGAACTTTTGAGAACAGGTTCCTACTTGCACAAGATTTTCTTAGCAATTGGTGTTTGAACCCGCCAGACGTGCAAAATTTGGTAGCCACTGATATGAAAGAAAAGATGTCCCAGGTTGCTAGGAGTCCAAGTACCGTAGATCCAAGTAGTCTATCTATTTTGGGCCTGCTATAGTAATCCAAGAATTGGGTTACTGTGAGGGAAAATCGCTTTAATCGCCCAATATTCCATGGTGAAAAAATGTGAAAAACCCAGGTTTCCTGCCGTGATGTTCCCTTGAATCGACTTAGTATATAAAATGGTACCCCAAAATCCTCTGGTTCATCATCATTCCCCCATAACAAAGTAGCCATTCTAGATCATGCATGATGATATTCCACAGATTTAGATTATATAATGATAATATATCATTATAGATAATTATATATCATTTTATTTCCATAGATTTCATGGTTTAATTATCCCATTAAAATAATAATATATCATGGTTCGGTGTGGCCATAGATGTCCATGGCCGTGGCTGTTGCGATGGCAAAAAGGTCAATCCGGTGAGCAGCTGGCCTTGCGTCTACAGGCGATTTCGGAGTGGATGTTGACAGAGACTTTTCTTACTGGTGCTTAGTAGGGGATGGGAATGGGGGAATGGGATTATTATTAATAGTTATCCAGTGGATCATGCCCTCATTCCCTACGTTTAGCACAAGTAAGTTTTTGATCCTCTAATTTTGAAGAGTTATCCTACAACAGTGACTGAGGTGGATACTTATAAGTTATATATATATATATAGTATCCATAGTTATCAGTAAGTGATCAATCTCCTCTAACTGATGTCCCAACTTATGGTCAATGTTGGTCATAAGTTCTCCTCCAAAAGGAGCTGAAGAATTATAAGATGTTAAAAGTTAGAGTCAAATAGGAGGTGGATGATCCTCTGATTGACTAAGATTCTTTAATTTGACTATAGAGGATTTTATATCAAAAGAATTTTCGTCAATTATCTTATGTTTAATTTGACTATTTGACTAAGATAAATCTCATTTTGACTATAACTTATAACTATTGCAACTGAGACTTGTGAGGTCTTTTTGATTATGCATTAAAGCGATCCTATGCACATGGCAGGCCACCAGCGCAGTCACTGCAGTCCAGGGTCGCAGGCTGGGTGGCGAGCACCATATTTGGGGGGCTTGCTGGGCACCTGGCAGAGCAAAAAATCTCGTTTGTTGCTTAAAGTTCCCATGGTTGATTGTCTGGTTGGTGGTTTCAAACATTTGTTATTTTCCATTTCATATATGGGATGTCATCCTTCCCAACTAATATTCTTCAGAGGGCTTCAAACCACCAACCAGGTGTATTTGCTTATCAATGTTTCCTCGTGAAATCTTTGGACATCTTGGATCAGATCTTGCCTCACAAAATCGGCGCTCTTTTCAGGCGCTTCCCAGTTTGGAGCTGCGCGCAGCGGAGGCAGCGGAGCGCCACCCAGCGGAGAAGCCGTCGTCACCATCACTGCCACTGAGCTGCGATGACTTCGTGATGTTTGATGGGGATCACATCATCTTTTTGGGTAAATTCCATCACGACCTCACGTCGCGACCGAGCCCTGGAATCATAGTTTTTCTAAGGGAAATCATCCCCAAATGGGCCCAACAATTCAGGTTAATGAAATATTATAATTTACCCAGGAATCTATAGGGTTTTTAAGCATCAACAATATGGGGATAACATTGATGGATGATTGGTTGATGATTAGTTCGGGGAAAAAATACTAACCAAATCAATATATTGGGGATTGTCACAGTCCATGAGGGAATCCCGTTCCAACCAGCATGAAGCAACTACACGGGGTTTGAGCACTGCTCACGTGTTTTTTCCTTTTTGCTGAACATATATGGGGATGGGTCAAAACCCTGGTACCTAGTGAACCCCAAAATAGCTTGTAAATGGATGTTCATCCCACTAAAAATGTATCTATAGGTATTGACCCATACCCATATGGTGGATGCCCAATCATTGTTTAGGGGAGATCTGATGCGAGATGTGACAAACACAAAAGTGCCAGGGCATGAAAATGATGGATGTGCACAATCAAGTGGCAATTTCATACGGAACATACTGATTCAATGATGATTTACGTACCACTGGATGGAATGACTTACCCAATGTTTATATAGACATACCCAAGTGTCTTCCACCCACCCAGATTACTGTATCAGATTTAGCGAATTGTTGTACAGGTGTCCCACTTTGGGGATTTGGAGGATCAGTTTCAAATGGTTCTTGGACATGTTCCACTGGTCGGTTAGTGTTTTTTGATGAGACGGTTCATTGGCCTTGGGTTAAAACATTGAGTTTTCAGATTTATGCTGTACTTTTGCCCCAATAAATCAATGATTGTAAGGGTTATGTGAGTTATATGGATTTATTTGTTTTTTTTTTCGCGCATTTTTCGTTCAGGTACTTCAATCACTGTTCTTGGTGCTGAAACAACCGTTGTTCATGTCCAACTGCTGAAATCATACAAAATCCAGAATTTCCCTTCGTTTTATACCCTGACGACCCAGGCTGCTACCTTGGTTGGTCGGTCAAGACGAGTAAAATCGATTCTCAGAAGGCGCCGTTGGACGGGGCGGTGTTCATCGTTTGAGGAGCAAAAACACTGGAGATTTATTGGGTAGTGATATGTATTGATGGGGATATACAACCATGAAAAAACGGGTCGCTCCAAGCCATTATCGGAAGATGGTGATTGACTACCGATTTTGTCTCTCTTGCTGTACCCCAGTTCCCCTTCCTTGTACCCGGGATGTTGGCAGCAACCCTGATGTAAATTGATATCCAAAGCGGGTCCATTCGATGTGCCCATGGCTTAGAATTGTTTAGAACGTCGAAACTGGATCTTGAAGGATATTGAACCAAATGGGTTTGCCCCAAGACAGGGTACCCCAAAATTGATGGTTTATCAGTTTGTATATCATTATTATCCCCATACTATGGGCATTTCGGAACAAGCCGTGGCAAGGCCATGGCAAAGACGACTTCCCCAAACTGGAGCTTTAGGACCCCTTTTTTCACCAGCTGCCAGGCGAGTACGCGACGGAAATGCCCGAAATGGTGCCCTTGGCCGCTTGGAAATCACCTGGGATCCTTGTGGGATGAGCATGATGAACATCCAGCCGTAGCTTCTGAAAGGAAGTGTGACTCGGGTATGATGACGATGACTAGGGGGTGAACCACCGTAGCTTCTCAGACAGTGGTCACGGATCCATAGGGTATATATACAACAACTAGTTTACTACTTGATGTGCTTTTTGTATGAAATCTGTACATGTGTACTGTTCGGCTGGCGATTTGTTGTCTGAAAATAGCGCACCGCAATGTTGGGGAGATTTCCCGCTATGTTTGACCCTTACCCTTTGGTGATCTAACATATTCTAACAGCTAACTCTAGGATTCAAGGTAAATCACCAATCGCAGATTGGGTAGATTGGGTAGATTGTTAGACATATCCCAATCTGGTTGGTGGTTTCAAACATTTTTTCCATAATGTATGGGATAATCCTTCCCATTGACGAACTCATATTTTCAAGATGGTTAAAACCACCAACCAGTAACTATTAGTATATAACCGTATAGTCATATATTGGGAATGTCATCATCCCAACTGACGAACTCAGAGGGGTAGGTCAACCACCAACCAGCAATGCTGCATCAATGCTTTCTAAGTTTTTATGGAAAATCCCATGGAAAATCACATCCCCCATGTTATATCCAAATGCTATCCAATGCATTCCAATGCTATATCCCATTGATATCCCCAAACCCTTTGGCTCCACCACAGATGTTTCAGGTGCAGCCGGCGAGCAGCACGTGCGCACAAGCGGTTTAGCCACCAGTGTGGAGGACGTTTTTCAACGGCTGGGGCAGAAGATTTTGGTTGGTTTCCCATGGAAAAATGGTGATTCATGGAAAACCATAGGAAAACCCATAGGAAAACCATAGGAAAACCATAGGAAAACCATGTGTCAATGGATTGGTTTAGTCGGGAAAATGTTAACCGGAAAGCCCCATATTCCATGGGAAAATCGATGGTTTCCCGGTTAGTCGATTTTCCCGACTAAACCAATCCATTGAGAATGGGAAATCCACTCATTGGGAAATCATGTGGGAATATGTGTTATTTCTTTGGGATTCGTTGAGCAAATCCAAAATAAGAAAAGCATTGAACCAGTAGAAGTTGGGATTTAACATGATTTAACGAACCAAATGAATGATATATAGCGGGATGTCCCCTCCGGCGATCAATCGCGGCTTGCTGGCACATTTCCCATTTATAATTAGATGATTTTCCCAGCAATAAACCTCCGGGCTGGGTTTTTCCCGCCAGCCACATTTGATTACTGGAGGGAAAATCAAATATAGGATATAATGCGATAGAGTGGGATATGACGGAATACAATGGTATATCGTGGGGTATCATGGGGTACACATAATAGCATATAATGGAACATGTAACCAACTATTATACCCTGTGTATCCAACTACCTGCTGTTTGAGGGAGTGTTTGGGTATAATTTGGGCTGTCAAGTCAGGAAATATTTGAATCCATAGGGATCAGAATCGTGCTCCAAATATCTGAAAAAGTGCCTGGACCCTTTAAACCAGCCCCCCCAAAAAATAGTCTTAGAGAGTGCTTGGATCTGTACAGGAATAGAAAGACCATGCACTTGTAGGATCGATCAATGTTCAGATGTTCGAATTTTGCTGTATTGTTGGGTTCCCTATTTTAGGATCCGTATCAATACTTAAGTGATGTAGATAAGGTGCATCACGCGGGTTTGCTTGAAATGGGCTACCCCTCAACTTGATGGTTACCCTCTGGTAATTTAACAGTTTGCTATTGAAAATGGCCCATTTATAGTTGATTTACCGATTTACCCATTAAACGTGGTGACTTTCCATTGTTTTTTGTATGTTTACCAGAGGGTATATACCACATGTTCTCATTGAAGCTGCATCTCCTGCATTTTCAGGAAGGATCACCCGCATCTTTGATTAAACTCATGCTGTAAAAGGTGGTGACTGGTGTTTTTCCAGTTGGTTTACAACCGCCATGTCCATAACCAGTTCGATATATCTACCATGAACCCAACCGTTTTTGGGGTGACAAACCAACTTAGCCAATGACCTCTGGCACTACCCTGTAGATATTGTAGATATTCATCAGTGCCATGGTCAAAAGTTGGATTATGATTACACTAATATTGGCGATAGCCATTGGGTTCGCACTATGGGATGCATGACCATGTACCATGATATAATCAATATAATCATTATATATAATCATAAAGGTGATTTTATATATCCCAGGATATGCCTGTTGTTGTTGCTTAAATATTGCCATAAAGCATTCATCCCATTATATGTCCATGCCCATAAACCAATAATCATATTGGCAATTTCATATGATCCCATATTCCCATGATATTGCCAACAGATTTCGATGGCCATAAACCATACACCATGGCCATGGCACATATCACTCCTCCCAAGGAGCCAGACGTGGAAGAAAGCTCCACCGATGAGGTCCGATGATTTGGGGGTAGCCCTCCAGCCATTAGGAAAGCTCCAGTCATGGTCTGATTCATTATATATGACCTAATAAATAATGGGATAAACCATCTATCAACTGGCGCAGGATTTCGCAAACATCCACAGTATGTAATGTATTGGAATGATCCAGTTTTGGGCACACCCAACTCTGGGCAAAGCCTGACACCTGGCTTTTGACAGGATATCCACTACTCTTCTGAGCATGTCATATCTACCAGTAAGAGTCCCTTTGCTGCATATCCAAGATTGATCATGAAACCGGCGAAAGCAGCTTTGCTGTCCCGAACATTTGAAGTTTGTATGTTGTAGTGAAACCAACTGCTGGATTCGTGGCATTGGTTTGTCAGACGATTCAACGGGAATTGTGTGTTTTTCCCTGAGGATAGATAGTTTAAGGAGGGCTATTAATTTTTGGATTTTTTTGCGGCAGGGTTTGGTTTTTTTTTGGGTTCCTGGTTCTATGCTTTCCTGTTTTTTGTTTTTTCTGCTTTTTGCTTTTTCTGCTTTTTGCTTTTCCTGCTTCTCTGCTTTTCATGCTTCTCTGCTTTACCTGCTTCTTTTCTTTTCTGCTTCTCTGCTTTCCCTGCTTCTCTGCTTTTCTGCTTTTGTGCTTCTGTGCCTTTCTACTTCTACTATTCTACTGGTACTTGTTCTTTTCTTCAGTCATGTGTTTTTGCTGCTCTACTTCCTGCTCCTCTGCTTCTTTGCTTCCTGTCTTTACTGCCTCTTTGTTTGTTTCCTTTATGTTGCGTTATTCTCTCCTGTTTATATCCTAAGTAAAACCCCAAAGACCCTAGGTGAAACCCAAAGAAACCGTAAAGAAATCCTGATGATAAGAAACCCCTACATGAAACCCTAAAGAAACCATAAATTAACCCTAAAGAAACCATAAATGAAACCCTAAAGAAACCTTGAATCAAACCCTAAATGGCATCCTAAAGAAACCCTAAACGACACTCTAAAAAACCCTGAATGAAACCCCAAATGAAACCATAACTGAAACCCTGAAGAACCCGTGAACAAAACCCTAAATGAAACCCTAAAGAAACCCTAAATGAAACCCTAAAAAAACTAAAGAAACCCTACATGAAACCCTGAAGAAACCCTTAATGAAACCCTACATGAAACCCTAAATGAAACCCCAAACGAAACCCTAAATGAAACCCTAAATGAAACCCTAAAGAAGCCCCAAAGAAACCCACATGAAAGTTTGGAAATCCTGATAAGAAATCCTGATAAGAAACCCTTAAATGAAACCCTAAATAAAACCCTTAATAAACCCTACATGAAACCCTAAAGAAACCCTAAATGAAACCCTAAAGAAACCTTTAATGAAAACCTAAAGAATCCCTAAATGAAATCTTAAATGAAACCCTAAAGAAACCCTAAATGAAACCCTAAATGAAACCCTAAATGAAACCCTAAATTAAACTCTAAAGAAATCCTAAAATGAACGCAGATTGAAACCCTAAATGAAACCCTAAAGAAACCTTAAAGAAACCCTACATGAAACCCTAAATGAGATCCTAATGAAACCCTAATGAAACCCTTAATGACACCTTAAATGACACCTTAAATGAAACCCTTAATGAAAGATTAAAGAAACTCTCAAGAAACCCACATGAACGTTTGAAGTACCAAAATGTAGCAAATACCATGCAAATGAGAGGTTGAAGTGCCAAAACGTGGCAAATACCATGCAGAATGGAAGGCGAAGATGGCCAAATGTAGCAAATACCATGCAAAATGCAAAGTAGCCATGCCAAAATGTAGCAAACACCACGCAAAATGACAGGTTCTAGTTCCAAACTGTTGCAAATACAAGGTAAATGGTACCAGGAAAGAAAGCAAAAAACAAAAACAAAACCTGAGCCAAAAAAACAAAAACTATTCTGAACCCATAGTTTAATCCTTTTTTTCTGGAAAAAATGGGGGAAAAAATAACCAGCAAAAGATTATGTGTTTTGTAGACTACCAAAGATTGACCATGATTTTTCAATGTCCATCCAATGTCTCCATAGTTTCGCTGCAGTTTCGCCGATGCGCTCGGAAAATCTTGCAGGAAGATGAGGATGATGACGGTGACGACTCAGACATCCAGGCAAGATATGAAGGATGACGTTGGCACATGTCAATGGATTTTGAATGATTTTGATTGGATGAGGTGGTTATTCAAAGACTCTAGGACTGCCTGAGCTATCTTGAACTCGCCCATTTACCTTGATAAAAAGATATAAGATAGTATAAGTATGGGAGATCTTGGGGCTTCACAAAAGTGATTTCTTGATGGCATTAATGAAGGAGAACGGCTCAAAAATCGCTGGAAATTCCTTGACCTTAGCAGCTACAGGTCCAACTTGTGTGGATTTCTGTTTGAATTGGTTGATGAAAACAGTCAGAAAACATGAAAAGAATAATATCCAAGCATTGCTACTGGATAGGGGAATGAGCTTCTATTTGTTCATGTTCTGACAACGAGGTTTGACCTGTTTTATTTAAAGCACGATGGATCATCTGCTGATAAATCCTAAGTCCAACCCAAGAATTCTTATGCAAACTGCATCCTGCGAAGTGGAGAACGACAGAAGATGGGTCCTTACAGGGCGTGCCCCCCTAGTTATGTTTGTTGGTTTATAACACCCAGCTAAGTTATAGCCTCGAGAAAGCCTAGTGAACCAGGTTATAAGTCAACTAAGTCAACGTAGCTATCTAGGGGAGCCCACCTTGTATGAGCCAATGATAGGAGCTTCAAAGTGTCCCAATCTGCCATTCTCCTGCCAAGGATTCTTCGTTCTGAGCATGTGAATGGGTTACCAAGTGCAAATAGTAATATAATATAATATCATATAATCTCCCTATGTTGTTGTTATTCACATCCCAGCAGACATAGACCATTCTTTTGGATGTTTATAAGAGAGGTGAATGTATATAATAAAGTTAGAATAACCTTTTGGCCCAGGGACCCACTTTCAGTTTTTTCCTCGGGGTTTTCTGGTAACGCTTCGACTCAAAGCTGGAGGTCCGCCCCAAGATGGAGTTGGATCGAGTCCTTCCGGAAGATAAACTTCGGGAGGAATGGGTCAGGGACGCCCAGCTACAGATTCTACAGCGATGATTGAAGTGGGAAACGTTCACCCAGGTTTTTTTCTCAGCCCCAAGTTGAATTAAAACTCAGGGTTGGTAGCAAATTTAGCAGTAATCAATTTCGGAAACTATATTGGGGCTGGCGCCCCCGCAATAAATAGTCAAGGTTTAGTAATCCGGTGTTGGCTTTAGCTTTAAATGATAATGTAGTGTTTGGATAGGTTGGCTCCCCGACCATTTCCTAACATCAGGCATTATCCAAGCATGCGGCATCTACCCTGATGAAGGGAAATAGGGAAGGCAGACATCATATGACCAAAAGATGGCAGTCACTGTACCGTACAACCATTCCCCAAAGAGACCAGGATTTACTACTGAAGAATGAAGTGATTTGGAAGCCTAGGGCTCAACTGTCTCGACGCGCATCAGCCGCTGTAGATTTTTTAAGGATAGATGCATCACTTGGTCTTTGGTCGGTGCTCTATGGCCAAATTGGTCCAAGTATGTCCAAGTTGTTGCATAATGTGGTAAACCGTGGTAAACCGTGGTAAACACTATAATGAATCACCCCCAATAGAGGTTTATGAAATCAGGTATACCCCTATGACTGGGATGATGTAAAATTGCACCTACATCATCCCGAATGGTTGGTCGATGGGGTGGGTTATGGATTATTACAGTATCTAAGCATCTATATCCCTTAATATGTCAAGGTGATGTTCCCATGATATTCCCATGGTTGTTGGTGAAGTCCCTAAAAAAATATCCATATGTTTCTATATCTGGATAAATTCAGGTTAGTGAAATATGATAATTTACCCAGATATATTTCACATATAATTGTTCCGTTATGAGAGTCATGATGCCTCTGGTCCTCTTAGTTGGCACTGCTCTGAGAAGTCCAGGCTTGGATGTATATGGAGGTTTCCTAGGTCATGGGGTCACCCCCCAAATCATCCAAAAATGATCAAAAATATTGTGATCTGTGATCAAAGGGAAAAGCAATGGTTTGGGGTATCCATTTTTTCAGGCACCTCCATATACATACAATTACATACATATAAATCATTATACGTCGAAGCTGAGCCAAATATTCGGTTCACAACAAAATCTGCAATTGTTGTGCTTGTTTCTTGGCCTTGTTTTGGTCCTTCCACCAGATTATACCAGGGTATAGCACCCTCCTATCTTTTTGAGGGTAACTATGTCAAAAACCATGCTATAGAGGGTACTGTAAAATATACCATATACTATAAGAAGTATCTATTAAGGTACTGTAAAGGGAGTACCAAATTCATGTTGGAATTCATAAACCACCACTATCACTATGGTTTCATGTTCATCAAATTCATGATGTATGGGCTGTATGGGGTTACTATAGGGTTTACCAGGGTTATAATATATATACACACTATTATACGATTGGGTTTCATTATCACCATCCAACATGTCCATAGACTCTTCGCAGCACAGGTGATGCCGCCTCTGAGACCCAAGGCTGGCTTTTCTGTGGTTTGATGACACTTTTCATGGGATATATAATAGTCCATAGAAATATCCTAAATATATAAATCATTGTACGTCGAAACTGAGCCACATATTTGGTTCATTTTGGTTCCCAACCAAATCTGCAATTTGATGTGCTTGTTTCTTGGCCTTGTTTTGGTCCTTCCACCAGATTATAGTAGGGGTTATATAGTTATATATTCATATTCAAACGTGGCTGGCTTGGAAATCGTCGAACTCAACGGAGGTTTATAGCTGGGAAAATCATCGAACCGAACCAAACGGATCGAAATGCGGGATTTTCCAGCACCCCACATTTGATTACCCACGGAGGGGTCCATTCAGCTAGTTTGGTTGTTCTTTATACATGCGCTAAAAACCCGATTTCTATGGATCCAAGTTTTCGAGGTTTCCGTTAGCAGGGTTTCACCGGGACACCTTGTCCATCTACTGATCGCAGGCATTCGGCATGTCGTGATGAGCATGTTGGACTAAAACTTGTACCCTCTGGTAAACATACAAAAAACGATGGAAAATCACCATGTGTTACAGTATCGGTAAAAATACAGGAACTTTCTATGGGCCGTGGCTTCAAGTTCGCAGTAACAAATTACCAGAGGGTTTACTGATCAACCCTATTTTGGTTGGTTAAAATCCCATGAAATCACCATTTGTTGGCGAAAGCTCCATGGAAATCATTGTGACCCGATGGGGGGTCAACCTGGCGGCTTCGTGAGATGATGGCAGGGTAAGCGCAGCATCCGACCCAAGAGTATGAAGCGCGTGGAGTGGGTTAGCAGCTGAGAATTTCTTGGTGAAAACGCAGCTGGCTACGTAATTTGATGTATTGCCCTATAATTTGACGTGATATTTTGGGCGGGTTTGATTGTTTGATGATGATTTGGTATCGTGTAATGTGTTTCTTTTTAATGTTGTTTTAATGCCACAAACTAGTTTGGACTGTAGATGTCTTTTTCACACGAGTTGGTCGATGAAAAGGAGGGATAAACAATGCTACATGACCACCATTGGACAGACATTGTGTACTTAAATGATGATCCAAGGTACCTGGTATCGGTCCCATAATACTTTACCATACTTTACCATGTCAGGATAGTTCAGGCTGGTGTCATGTCAGTCCTCATGCTCCAACTGGTCCCAGTTGGGATGATGAAGGATGATCTGATCTGGGGTTGTTTTAAGTCACTAAGCACTATCAAAACATCCAGTTGTCGCCAAGCAGTATCAAACATCAAAAAAATGGGTTTCTTCGGGTGATACCAACTGACATTCTATTTTACATATTGGTTTGCCTGACAATGGTGTGCCCCCAAATCCATTGGTTATGATCCTTTTCGCTAGGAAAATAGATATGTGTGTTTTTTTCAGGACCCATACCCTCTGGTAAACTAACATAACTATGGAAAATCACCATGTTCAATGGGTAAATCCACTATAAATGGTTATTTTCAAGAGCTATGTAACAAATTGCCAGAGGGTATATTCTGACATTCTATCTGACAAGTGCTGTTTCTTTACTGCAACAAGAGGGTCCTCGGGTCCTTGGCTTTTTTTGCGGCTGAGGATCAAGAGGATCACGTCAGAGACTTTGGTCATAACCCTTGGAGAAGCTCGGCCACAGGACCTCAGGTTTTTGGAAAAATGTAGAGGGGGTCCGGGAGACCCTCATGATGATAGATTCCATTGGATTTTTGGACTATGATAAATATATATGTATATATACATATACATACAATATTGATTATACAATTAATAGACAGTTATCATATATATGCACTATATATACAATATACACGGTAAATGTTTTCAGACGTACGCATATTAGAAAGTCGACAAGCACTCAAGTCTGTCAACATGTCAACGTCCAATCAAGCATCAACTCGATAAACACAAAGCTTGAGAAATCCGTATTTAATCGGTCATGTTCACGGGATGACATGTCAGACACCCTTTGGGTGTCGACATGTGGTTAGGATGTTGTGGGTATTTGCTTGACATATGCTGTTTCAATGTTGATTGTCATTGACACTATATAGAGTCTATATGAGTCTATATGTTATACAAGATTGCTCTACAAATTTCAGTTTGTTCAACGGTTCAACGCAAGCTTTCAAACGTTCATCCATGCTGAGGAAAGACAAACTCATCTGATGTCAGGCCATTTGCCACAACCAACTTGTCCATTTCTGTCCTAATGAAGCACAAACTATAGCTGAGCCGGGATTAAAACCCCTGTTGGTTGATGATTGGTGCGGGGTACACTAGGCAATGTATCGGGGGTTGAGATGTTGTGAGCATATAAGAATTATCATGTTTTTTGCAGTCTCAATGCCAAAGCCGTCAAAGTTGTAAGTCTGTAAGATCACGGAGGCCGTCTATGCTGAAGTATTTCCTTCAGATTTCTTGACAAGCATTAAGCATTCCCAGCAAAGTTGCTGATCATTGCATATCCTCAGTAGTCATTGAAACACCTATTGTGAAGCAATACTGACTAGTTATATCCTGCTGTCAAACACCTATTGTCAACTGCTTCTCACTGCTTATCATCCTCAATAGTGGTCATCCAAATTGTTGATAAGCCATCCCATTGTGAAGAGGTTCTCAGCGTTGTTGATAGGTTTGCTTCAAACTGGGGCGATGATGGTCACCTAGAGAGGAGACAATTACACTCGTCACACATCAAAAATGGAGGTTTCCTATGGGGGGCAGCCCCAAATCATCCAAAAACCATTCGATCATGACTTGCTATTGGAAAAAAAAAAAACGGTGACTTGGGGATCTCCCATTTTTGTATCTAAGCCCCCCCATTTTTAGTATCTAAGACAACACCGCCGGCTGCCGCCAAGGCTCATTTGCTTTGGCACCTGCGGCTGAAAAGGAACGGTTATCATGGGGGAGGGGGCCTTGACAACAGACCAGTGTCCTGATCTCGTAACGAGATGTTTGGCGCGTGTTTGTTTCTTTCCACGCGTGGTGTTACGATGCGCATAAATAAAACAAAACAGATGCGTATGACACAAAAGCACATGTAGTCAGATCAGACTATCAGACCGTTCTATCGTGGCAGTGGTTGTTTGTTTTTCTCTTTGCTTCCGCATCCTGCCTGTCCTGGAAGATGGGTATTGGTCAAGTCCTGACCCTGAATTGCATGGTTTGATGCTACAGATCATTTGCCTACTTGCTAAAATTTTGGAACAAATTCCACTCATTGTTACTGTACTAATTACTTTTTAAAGGACCATTGAATCCACTATATATTCAGCATATTCAAGGACCGATGCGATGAACGATCTAAGATTAATTAGTACTGTATTTGTTATCAGAGTAAAACGGTTTTAGGATGTTTTGGACCTAACAATTTATCCATAATCAATGGTTTAATGATCAAATTTGTCAAATCAAATTTGCACATTATACATTTCAGCTACTGTAATCATCTAAAAAAAAACATATAGCCAAAATCATAGTTCCCTAATATGGTTACAACTGTCCGTCACTATTTCCCATCACATCATCACGTGCAAAATCATGATTCACTAAAGCAAATGATTCAATGCATTGATTTCAGGGAAAAAAATACTTCGGAAAGCCCCATATTGAACATGGGAAAATATATGGGGTTTCCGGTTAAGATTTTCCCTGAAACCAATCATGGGGCTTCCGGTTAAGATTTTCCCTTACACCAATCCATTGAAAATGCTTGTTATGGCCCTTAACAGCCATAAATTGGATATTATGACATCCTAAAACTAAGCTTATATATCATGAAATAGTCCCATAAGAATAACTGTTAAGGGCCATAGCTGTTGGACGGTTGCGAAATCCAAGGAAAACCATCGAAAGGATGGTTGAAACATGTTGAAACCAATTGAAACCCTTGAAAAATCATGGGATGTTTACCACATATATCATGAAATAATCCCATTTATAACATTAACTCTATATTTTTTTCATCACATACCCTCTGGTAAACTAACATAGCTATAGAAAATCACCATGTTTAATAGGTAAACCATCTATTTCTATGGGCCATTTTCCAGTTCGCTTTTTGTATGTTTACCAGGCCGGGTATAACCTGAGTTATCACAACTCATATAACTTAATTTATATCATAACTCCATATAAACTCCTATAAACCATCATAACTCCTATAAACCATCTATCGTTGGGCCACGGTCTCCCTTTTTTTCCGTCGTTGTCGTAGGCTGTCGTAGCCAGGAGTTGGTCGCCAAGTCATGGGCCAATGACGCCCGTCGGAAAGCCAACGAGCGCACCAGCGAGGCACGGGCACGGTGGCTCCAAGGAGGACGTGGGTTATAATAACTGGTTGGTTAATAGTGGTTAATAGTGGTTAATAGTGGTTAACTATACCATGGAGGTTAATAATGATGGTTAATAGTGGTAAAAAATAGGGTATAAACCAACAACAATGGGAATATGATGGTTAATAATAAACTGCTTGGTGGTTTGGAACATGAATGGATTATGACTTTCCATATATTGGGAATGTCATCATCCTGACTTTCATATTTTTCAGAGGGGTAGGTATACCACCAACCAGATAATTCACTATTTTTGTGGTTTTGTTCATTCCATGGTAAAACTACCGGGGGTAAAACAATGCCATAAACCATCCCCAAGTCATAACCATAAATTAATAGGTGGTATAAACTTACCATTCCCAGTCATGGGTGGTAAAAATGGCATTGTTTTACCCACATATCCCTGGTTTTGTTACTGGGATACTAGGATAAATAGGATTAATCCATTAAAACATGTGGGTTATAACTGGTCCACGGATTCGAATCGTGGGTCTATGGGTCTGTTTGAATCTACTCTATTTTCAGACATATCAATATTACGGGACAAATAAATCATTTTTTCCCAGAGATTTCTATACTTTTTTGTCAGGATTCCCTAAATGAGATGGATGACAACCCTAAACTATGTATATATATATACCTGTTTTGACCATGGCACAGATGCTCCATGGTGCTGGAATACGTTACCAACATCTACCCGCAAATTTGTCAACATGTCACAGATTTGTAGGTAAACAAAAACCAGCACCATTTGTTCGCATATGGGCACAGGAAATGATGGGATTTTTTCAGCAACAAACGATAGGGAATTCTTCATGGATCTAACATGATCCAAGCATCTCAGATGACGCAAGCTGTTCCTGGCTGTTGAAATCATGGAGAAATAACTGGAAATGCTGTTGTTTTTTCCATTTCATTTTGGGGTGCCAGGGGAGAATTCACTTGCTGTCTTTGTGCTTCACTACTTTGGAATATCTGAGGAAGTGGGAAAAATCATCAAAGATCCTTGCTGATCACTATCGCAAGTGGTGTTCCAGTCGTAATATACATGGGAGCAATGCCCGAAATGCCTGGTGGTTGATGGTGATTTAGGGTTGTACCAGCTCATTGATGGGTGATTTTCGGTCGTGACCCATTCTTGAAACTCACAGCCAAGCAGCAAAAATGAGAAGGTGAAGTCAGACGCTGCTTTGCGCATGAAGTCAGAGCCTGCAGCGTCAAGGACATCACCCAGTTATGGCATGGTCCGACTCAAAGATGTGACGATTGGAGAAGCTGGTCAAGCTGCAGAGGGTTTGAAGAGTGCTCACATGGAGCCGTTGCTTGGCGCTTGTGTGGTGAAAAGTGATGCTTTAAGCTCTAATGTATAGGTCCCTCATGGTCTATCCCTTCCTGGAAATGACCAATTGATTTTTTGGCCATGTAGCACTGTTGAAGACTTATTCTAAAATGATCGGTAGATATTGGAAGTGGTTTCGAGAGATATGATAGACTTGGGTTTTCATGGGTTTGTAGGGAATTTTCTCCATGCCTTGTTCGATTGCTTGGCGGATAGCAGTTTTTTTTGTTAACCGTATGTGGGAATACTTGCGTGTGAGATTCACTAACCAGCTCCAAATCAACTGTTACAGCAATGTTTGATTCATATCAATACATATCCATGTGTTTTTTTGTTATATTCCTCTCACATACCCATGTGGCGACTGGTATCCCTGGAAAATGTTGCGGGCACCCAGATTTCTCCAGATTTCATGAGAAACAACATGGTCCCCTGCAGCATTGTCCAAAGATTTTACATGTTCCTAGTGAATCACCTTTTTCATGGTCAAAAAACACCTTTTTTGATGGTAAAATCATGAAAAACACCAAAGTCTACTGAATCTACTGTAACTGGATAAATCATATGAGGACCCGTCTTTTCCCATACAAGCCATAAGTTTTTCGTTGTCTTGCCGTTAATTTCTCCGTAAAATCCCAAGGATGGTGTGAATGTTAAACCTCAGCGCCTCTGTCCAGGAGCGCGGACGGCACCGCATTGGCGACGACGTTGGCACCGGGCCCTCGCACGTGGCGTATGTGGAGATCCGGGAGAGGTGACAGTTGGGGGAAATGCTGATGGGATAGGGATTGCACGTGGGATTTATAGCTGATTTTATAGCTGTGCCATCCCATCCCCCATTATGAAACACCCCCCTGGTCCAATGGTCCAATGGTCCAATGGTCTCGATTATGTGGAAGCTAAAGCATGGTTTCGTTTGGGAGTGTTTAATATTGGGGGGAAGAAATGATTCAAACATTTTAATGGGACAATTAGAGGTTTCCTGATATCGCTTAATATGGGGGTTACCCATGGTTACCCCAAATCATCCAAGTCATTATATAGATATAGACCATCTTAGTATTGAAACCTATGGTGACTTGGGTTTCCCCCATTTTAAGAAAACCCCCAAGTGGGGTTACAAGATAGTGACACACCCTGGGAATCAAACATGGCCGGGTTCGCTGCCATGCTTGATGACACCGGAGGGTATGCCCTGTTCGAGTTAGTCTTATTCCCAACCATTGTTAACCAGTATTAGATATATATCATATCAAATCCTTGTCACCAGAGGGCCTTAAGTCCTAAGTCAACAGGACCTACTATCTCATTAAGATTTATGAAAACCCATTCATCATTAACACTAATCCACTTATTATATGTTCATCCAAAAAAAATATATAGATTTATTCACCCATGAATCATCATTATTATCATTCCCACCATCTCCCTTTCACTCTCCAAGCCATCTCCCTGCACAGGTGGGACGGTCCGGAGTTCGAGGCGCTCCCCGTTGCCGCTGTGGATGTCTGATGGTTTCGAAGATGTTTTAAGATGTTTTAAGTATATGCCTTCCATTGTTCCATCCAGGAAAAGAAATTGCATCATTCATCCCAAAACATGGATAAATTATGATAAATTCATGTCAAGACGATGTTTCGAATAGAGTTCGGATAAACAGACGGCACCTAAATCCACTGTAATTTTGGCGAGAATCTTGTCAAGTTCCCCTTGCCAAGTTCCTGCAACAGGAATGGACCCCTATAGGCCCTATACGGTTGGTTTTTAAACCCATCCAACTGTAGATATCTCCATTCTACAAACTCCGGTGAAACTAATTAGTTCAAATTAGTTCAACCAACTTAGCCCATTTAGCATCATTTAGCTATTCCATGAAGTACTATGATTTCCCCCAACCTGACGGCCCAAAGGCCGTGAACATCATCGTGGCTGAACACCTGGGCATCACTCCCGAGAAGGCTTCGCGCCTGGTAGAGCTGGGTCCGGGCCGCCCAATGGGGGTTGCTGGGGCCTCCCTGGATGACAAAATCGTGCAATGTGGGGCCCCAAACGTGATGTTAGTTGGTTTATAAACCCCATGAATACTATAGTTATAAGATGTTATAAGTATAATAAACCATAGTTATTGGAGTTATAAACCAGCTATCTAGGAGGCCCCACATTGTGGATCGTTTTTTCCCTGGATTTTACCATGTATATTTCCAGATGATATGTCAGAAACTATGACAAATAAGTGTCAGGGTGGGGATCACTCAAGTAAAGTATTCTATCAATGGAAAACCAGAAAATCAACAGCAAAAGACGACAGTTTCTTGCGGACTACTAAAGATTGGCCATGTAAGTGCTTCAACCAATCACAAATAGGGGCATATAACTGATATATTCTGATATTGATACATTATATATATATATATGGAAGGAAGGGCAAAGATCATCCCTGTGTGTCAGAAAATGGAGCCAAGCAAGCAAGTTGTGCTTTTGTGAAGTCGGTCCAAAAGAATGCTGGAAACACACGGGAACACCATGGAACACCTATTGTTTGATTCTGATGAGTTTCTTCCAATTATGCATCATCGCCGCTTTCGCTGAGTTCTTTCCCTGCAGCCAGATCAGCATAAGCTTTTCCTGGGGATTGTTCATTCTCAGGAGTTTGGGCTTTCACTTGAAGCCCACAAACATTTGGGGGGCTCCTAAGATGAGGGTAGCCCCAAATCATCCAGCATTGGAGCATTTTAGTAGTGAAACCGGTGACTTGGGGATCCCCAATGACTAAAATTTATAGATGTTCTTTCTCCACTTCCATTTTTTTTTGCAGCGTTATCTTCCTTTATCCTTAATCTAAATCGCATTGGTCAAATTTGGCCAAGCACCAATACCTGATCTACCCAGGTGCGGTGTGGTACTACGACAACTTCGAAATCGGGGACAGAACCAGAGATGTTGGGATGATACATTGATACATTGATGATACACCACAAATGGTGGTTTGGAAGATGTTTTTGCCCGAAAACTCTATCCCACTTTGGAACTGAAGGCCTGAGGCCAAGTTTCCGGTTCCCATCATTACAATGATGGTTCCCAACTCAAGTTCTAGGGCATTGGTTGATTGGGCATAGTGATGACTCCATGCTTGAAATAGCATGAACTTCCCACTTTTGTTGGTGCTCATTGATTTGCAGTCACCAGTCAGAAATTCATGGTTGGTTTGTGTCCGATGACATACCTATTCACTCAGACTCGCATAAACTGGGTGGTTCATGACCATCACTTTTCCCTTAAAAAAATAAAAGCATATTGTATAGATTTGTATAGACCCATCGAACTATAGATCTACGGACCCATAAAACGTTCTTGGTAGCCTATAGCTAGAAACCATGATCATGACCAGATCCCGGCGCTTTTTGTTTTTTCGGTCAGGACTGGGTGCGTATCATGAAGCCACAGCAGGTCTCCGTTGGCACGGTGCCGGGACCTGGGGGGCCTGGGGAACCTGGCTGGCTTCGTGGTAACAGCGTGGTAGGGCTGGCGAAATGGGACAAGGTGGACCTCCCCCAGATATAAGTTGTATAAACCCCATGAGTACCATAGTTATACACCCCATAAACCATATAGTTTATCAAGTTATAGGTCAACTTAGCTATCTAGGGGACCCCACCTTGCAACTTCGGAAAAAGCTCGGCGGTTTCAATCTGTGATGAGCAGGATCCAATCTCCTTTGCACTTACTGCAGGAGGTGGCCTTGTTCAGATCATTTAGATAGCTGTCGAATTGCGTCGTTGCTGTCTTCAGATTTTCCAATTTGGACGTGACCAAAGCCTTACTGAACAAAGATACCTTGATCTGGTAGCACGCTTGACTGTGATCCTTGGCGAGTTGGTTGCACACTCCTCCTGGCCCTGGGAAGTAGGTAGGAGAACAGAAAGCCAAAGCAAACCCCAAGATCACCGCAGAGTGAGCTCATCCAGCAGGTCATCTTCTGATTGTAGCCCACTCCGTCACCCGACCGGGCATATATTCCAACAGAGAGTCTCCAAGAGCAAGTGCTTCCATTTGGTAGACTCAATGGTTTCACTTCAAATTCTCAACAAAGATCAACAAAGGCCGGCCGTCAAGCCACAAAACGCGGTTGGTTTGTAAAAGATAGCTTCCTTGCTGATTGCTCCTCGGATACCCCTAGTCTTGTGATACGTCGAATCTTCCCCAAATCCGGCCGACTGGCCGAGCAGAAGACCTCAGAAATGAAAATGGGGAAGCGTAAAATATTTGAAGCAGTTGACAAGCAGGAACGTATCAAGAGGCGCAAAGAATTGCGAAAGCTAGAAGACTTAGCTATCTAAGTTTTTCGGGCCTTTGCAACAACAATTACTTTACTTCGAGTGATCCCCACCATGACATTTCAAAACAGCTTGTTGACACCACTTTTGTCTGAAGCTTTTGTCACGGGACTTTTGCCCAACTAACTATCCCAATCATTTGTTTCACCTGGCAGGTCATTGTACAGGTCAGACTATCAAACAGGATATAAACATGTCAGTGGGCCATGTGAAGTAAACTCCAGAGCTCTCAACAGGTTTGTTTAAACATGACCAAACAAGCCAGTGGACCACCTGAGCCAAACAAACAAACATGCCCAAACATGTCAGCATGCCGCCTGTCAAACATGTTTGTACAAACATGACTGAACCAAGCCAGTGGACCCCTGAACCAAAGTCAAAGGCTCGCAAGCTCACGTCTAAACTCAACAAAACCATGCCAGTGTTACTTCATCAGATCGCTGCAGCTGCAACTCTCTATTTCTCCACCAGACGTCTTCAATCTCTTCACAAGATTTGCCAATGCCAGAAGATATGTCAGATAGAGTGCCAGAAGATATGCCAGATAGAATGCCAGATAGAATGCCAAATAGAATGCCACATAGAATGCCAGATAGAATGCCAGAAGATATGTCAGAATATATGCCAGAAGATATGCCAGATAGAATGCCAGATAATATGCCAGAAGATTTGCCAGATGGAATGCCAGATAGAATGCCAGAAGATTTGCCAGAAAATATGCCAGAAGATATGCCAGATAGATATGCCAGAAGATATGCCAGAAGATTTGCCAGAAGATATGTCAGAATATATGCCAGAAGATATGTCAGATAGAATGCCAGAAGATATGTCAGAGTATATGCCAGAAGATATGCCAGATAGAATGCCAGATTGAATGCCAGAAGATATGTCAGATAGAATGCCAGAAGATATGCCAGATAGAATGCCAGAAGATTTGCCAGATAGAATGCCAGAAGATATGCCAGAAGATATGCCAGATCATATGCCAGAAGATATGCCAGATAGAATGCCAAATAAAATGTCAGAAGATATGTCAGAAGAGCGGTTGAGGTCCGGCAGGGAACACTGGGCGCGGATGGTCGCGGTTGAGGTCCGGCAGGGAACACTGGGCGCGGATGGTCGCGGTTGAGGTCCGGCAGGGAACACTGGGCGCGGATGGTCGTGGTTGAGGTCCGGCAGGGAACACTGGGCGCGGATGGTCGCGGTTGAGGTCCGGCAGGGAACACTGGGCGCGGATGGTCGTGGTTGAGGTCCGGCAAGGAACACTGGGCGCGGATGGTCGTGGTTGAGGTCCGGCAGGGAACACTGGGCGTGGATGGTCGTGGTTGAGGTCCGGCAGCGAACACTGTGGATCGCGGGTCGCAGTTGAGCAAGGACGACGAGGACGACGAGGACGACGAGGAGGACGAGGAGGAGGAGGACGAGGAGGAGGAGGAGCAGGAGGAGGAGCAGGAGGAGGAGGCAACTGACATAAAATCTAACAACCCTCACCTGGCAGGTGGGGAAAAACAACATATTTCGTTGACCTCTATCTTTGGCAAGTGACACCATTTCAGCAAAACAGCATTACCAGCCCTCCTTGCGTAAGCGTTTATCAGGAGCTTGGTGTTTGTTTAAGGTTTTACCTCCTTTCACCATAGAAACACTCCAAGTGTTGCTCGGTTGGTTACCACCAGTTGCCTTAGCTGTTTTCCTTGCCTTCCGATGTTCGCCAAAAACTGGAGAAATGTTAGCAGTAATGGCCCGTTAGTCATTCCATCACACTCTTGTTCATGGGAGACACCAAGACTTCAGAACGGAATCCAAATGCAGGATGGTGAACCTAACTGACCCGACCAGTTTTTCCTCAAAACCTGTAAAATTTCTGCATACTCTGATGGTCGTCTACAAAATTTCGCGCGGTGTTTCCAGGAAGGTTTAGTTGCAACAAACTTCCAACAGTACAAATTCAAACCGTTTTTATTGCGCAGGGGAGGAACCACTGCTCAGTGATTCCTCACCAAAAATTATTCCCAGGTCTCACATCTAGGAAGATGGTCCTCAGAAAAAAACCGTAATTGAAAATCTACATCCAGGACTCCATTGCCTCTTCACAACTTTGCAAATTAAATCTTCTACTCAACAGAGTTGGGCCCGCTGTTGGTTAGACAAATGCCGAGTTGAGCCTTTGTTTAACAGACAAAAAGGAGGGGGACGTGGAAGGAGGTCAAAGTGAAAATTTGCCATTCCTAAGAAAGTTTTTTGTTTGATCAAAAATCTGACTCTTGGGCTGCTAAACCATGTTTTCGATGTTTCTACCAACCAGGTCTTGCACCAAAACCAAAAAGAGCGAGGGCGCTTTCTTAATAATCGAAGTAAATGATTTCCCATTGCCACGCGAATTCCTTTTTGGCAGGGTGGGTTTTAGCTGGGAGCGCAACATGGTTGATGGATGTTTATCGTAGATTAACATCTGTAGTATTCTATAGTTAGGTACATGTATTGAAGCCAATAAATGGGTGAAACTCCACAAACAAACAAAACTGAGGGGGGCCTAATTGGGCAAATGTTTGAAGTATATAGCCTACTATCTAGTAATCAAACAAAGTGCGGCTGCAAAACCTTCAATTTTTGCGTGGCGAAACCCATCTATAACTTGGAAATTGCTGGAGTATCCTATTTTTGACACATACCCACGAGAAGAACATGGGTAGCCAACAGTCAATCAATGGCAGTTTTGGGGACCCCCAATGCGGCAACGCCGTTTGCAAGGTTGTTTTCAATACCTCTGACATCCTCTGACCATGGCATATGAAAGAAACCCAGTCTATAATCCGCCCACACCGCTTTGGCGGTGAAGGCGTGCTTATTGGGGGGCAACAGCAACACTAAATGCTCAATGACATTTGTTAATATAGCAGTCGCTATATCAGCTTTAGCTGGGGGGGGCCCAAAAACGGTTTCGCACCGAGACCAGAATACGGTGGTGTTTTCGACATTTTTCGAGGATTTTTGGGTGTCTGAGCGCAAGAGGGTATTGAAATGGAATTTTGGGTCATTTTGGTAGCTTTCCGGCAATGGAAAAACGGCCAAAAATGAAAAAAACATTGTACATAGCAAGATTTTGCAGGGTTTTTGGATTGCCAGAGCATTGAAAACACTGCAAAAACAAGTGTTTTGGACTGACGTTATAGCAAAAAACGTGTAAATTACCGTATGCTTGACTGGAAACATTACAAAACCACTGTCAAAAGCAATGTTTTGGAAGGATTTACTGCCTTTATGGCAAAAAACGTGTAAATTACCGTCTGTTTGACTGGAAACATTGGAAAAACACTGTCAAAAACAATGTTTTGGAAGGATTTCTTATATATATGTTGGAGTTGGTTACCGGCATTGGCACATGGAAAAGTTGAAGAAAAGACTGTAAATAGCGGTATTTTCAACGGTTGGGGAGATAAGGGAATTGGAAGCATTGTCGAACATGATGTTTTCGACCGGTTTTATGGCGACAAAAGTGTAAAGTACCGTGCTTTTGAAGGAAACCATTGCAAAAACATGGAAACACATTCAAAGAACACGGGGTTTGGGGGACTATCTAGGCGTCGTTGTCTAGCTATTTGAAATTCCGCAGTTTGGAGAGCCTCCAAGGGAGGGAAAAGTGAAAATTCCATAGCTTGGGAAGCTGTCACGGCGGCGAAAAGTGAAAATTCCCTAGCTTGGGAAGCCCCCACGGGAAAAGTGAAAATTCCCTAGCTTGGGGAGCCCCCACGGGGGGGAAAAGTGAAAATTCCCTAGCTTGGGTAGCCCCCACAAGGGAGAAAAGTGAAAATTCCCTAGCTTGGGGAGCCCCCACGGGGGGGAAAAGTGAAAATTCCCTAGCTTGGGGAGCCCCACGGGGGGGAAAAGTGAAAATTCCCTAGCTTGGGGAGCCCCCACGGGGGGGGAACGTGAAAATTCTTAGCTTGGGGAGCCCCTACGGGGGAAAACCACCCTTAGCCCCTCTCACGGACCGAAATAAACCTGCGGTGTGGGCGGCCACCCCACGCGAAGCGGGGTGAATTACACTAGGATCAGGGGTTCATGTTTCTGAAAGGCCAACATGGGAATGGTGTGAAATGACCGAAAAAACTACAAGGTTGGTAAACCCAATCCACGTAGGGCGTAGGGATAATTAATAGCACATAGTAGCACTATTTCTGGCATATTTTATGAAATACATTTTGGGATTGTAGATCATTTGAGGACATGTTTTTGGCATGTTTTTCCACTACTTACCCGAAGATTGACCACAAAGTTGATCAAATTCGGGGATGGTTCATGGTTTTGGGCACATCATGCCAATCATGTTCCAACCAATGCCAGGGCTCATCTTTTCCCACACGTTGAAAAGATCCGCAGGTGCTGCGAGTCTTTCCCAACCCCGAACGCTACAAGACCTGCTACGTGGATGACTGGGACGAGCGCATCAAGAAAGTCGACCGGGACAACAAACTGCTGGGGGGTGGGTTGGTGGGCGGCACTTCAACCTTTATATGGTACCCTCCGGTAATCACACATAGCTAAGGTTAGTGTTGCTTGTGGCCGGCATTGGTGATCTTTGGATATATTTTTGTATTTTGCAGTCTATCATGTGTAGTTGGGTCGTTTCAGGTGCAATATGCAGATGGTCCATTGGTTGAATCAAAAATGATGGGATTTACCCTCTCATAATTTGACAACCTATGGAAAACTACCTGTATGGTAGGTAAATCATCTATACATTGGTCATCTATACTATGTATACCATAGCTATGTTAAATTGAGGCTATACTGACATGGCTCAAATATCTTGCCCCCCAGTTGGATGGTTGATTGCACATGACCACTTCTGCGGGTCTGTGGAGTCAACCCCCCACCACCACGACCACCACGACCACCAGCCACCACCGTTCGTAGCATGGCCTTTCCTGACAGTAATTGCTACCAAAGGTGATCGCGTTGAATATGTTGAATGAAAAATGAATTCAACTGCATATCTCTGCTGATAAAATCTGATCATATAGCAAAGATGCAGCAATCTATAGATCCCAGATGCATGGCATATTTATCCAAATTCGGCGACAAAATTGCCGAAACGAAGGTAGCCATACCGCACGTTGGAGCATATGGGGATAGTCAACTAGACCCTACAGTAGATTTCCATCAAATATGAAACATCATTAAAGTATAAATCACTTCGTGCACTACAGTGTGAATCTCCTACTGTTCATCTTAAATCCGCATATTTGAAATAGTCAAGTATAACATCTTCTTAGCAAACACATCATCAACATAGATTCATATGTTCATGGCAAAGACTTGTTTTTGATATTGATTTTTTGATAGTCACCTAATCCCTTCCCCTTTTCATATTAAGCAGCCCCAAACGAAACCATGGTTTAGTAGGGAAATGTAGGGAATCAATCCACATCATTGGGACCATCAACCGGATTTGTCTGAATAGCGTACCCCGCAATGTGATGGTTCATAATCATGTTCCCGATTAAACGGACATTTAGAGGATATACATGGATATACCCCATTTTCAGACACACCAAACTGTCGATAGTCAACTATGCCATCTCACCACCGGAAGACCCGACCCCCTCACACCGAAGTCAGAGGACTTCGTGGTGATTGACAAGCCGCCTTTGCTGCCGTGCTTTGCGCACGCAACACCGGCCTGTGGATAGCAGATGATATTGGGCCAACAAGATCAGGACCCTTAAATAGGCCTTATATATGGTATGTCAGCTCCAGTATGTCTTTTATATCCCAATAAATTCCTAATATATATGTACGTATATATATATATGATATATGCATATATATATATATGTAGTAATTCAGGCCCTTATATATCCTAGTATATTGTAAGTAGCTCCGTTTTAGGTACCTGAAATGGTCAGTGATAAGAGGGAAAATGGGAGAAACATCGGGTGACATCTGACTTAATCATCGAATCGGAGGGGCGCCCTTGGCTGTTGCTCCCTCCGGTAATGTGTCCAGATGACCTAAAATGTCTTACCCAGCCTGGTAAGCATACAAAAAGCTATTGAAAATTGCCATTTATGGTTGGTTTACCCATAAAAATTTATTTTCCATAGTTATGTTAGTTTACCGTAGGGTAATTAATATAATGTTCCGTTTGTCCTGGGCTAGAATAACATCCAAAAACAAGATGAGGTGATACAACATGTGTCCTGATGTGTAAGAAAGTTGACAGGAGCATATACTGCAATGTGATTAACGTTTGAAGTGTCAAGATTCAAGGTCCTATGCTGTTATTCACTTGATTGTGGTCAGCTATTACCATCAACTTTCTTGAAATTTCGCAGGCTATATACTATTAACTATTGCTATTATTACTTTTACTATTCATTAATATTAAGTCTTGCTGTTGCCATAAACACATAAACTATTAACATCTATTAACTATCAACTGTCAACTATTAACTATCATTGCTATTCACTAATTATTAACTATGACTCTGATAATGACTTGTAAAGGTGAGTCTCTATTAGTTGTAACTGCGTCACGCCATCGTCTCTATTAGTTGGATGGCAGGTGACGAACGGCAAGGAAGTGCTCCATCGTTGTTTGGCGGATGCCCTGCGTGTCTGGCGCCTCAGCCTGCTGAAGAAATCATGGAGCTGACAGTCTAGGCTCGCCTGTAATGATTGAAATGGAGGTCTTATAGTAAATCAATATGGTTTCTTCCTGATTTGATATGATGTTACATGGTTTTAGATGGTCGAAAAAGGGATATGTTCATGGGATATTTTCGCTGGGAGATCCCAGAACTCGCCATGGAGGTTTATAGCTGGGAAAATCTTCGAACCCTCTGGTAATTTAACATAGCGAACTGGAAAATCCACCCATTTTTAATAGGTATATAAATCAACTAGTTCTATGGTCATGTTCCATAGCTATGTGAAATTACCAGAGGGTAAATGAAATTTTCCAGCCTCTGGAAAGCTCACTCGTTGCGAACTAGAAAATCACTAGCTTCAACAGGTAAATAATAGAACTCAATGGGCCATCGCTTCCATAGCCAACTGTTAATTTTCTGGAGGGTATCTCAAAAACCAAAGCGTGAATCTTATCCTTTGAATCGATTTTGTTGATCTTCATGACAGTAACTTTGAACAGTTTACCCTTTTCCAGAGCCTTTCAAAAATATGGGTCTACCTGATAATGAAGGATCTTCCCACCAAACATTGTATATAAGTTTAAGGGAAAGTAAGTATGAGAATTGCCCACTGGACTTTTTTTGGTAGCCTGCCTTTAAAAAACACCCATATATTCCCAACCGACTGGATTGTTAGTTTAATCCTTTTGGTTTCTTGCTAGACATGGAACATAACCAAGACTATAACCAGCAAAGATTTTTTTATGGACGTGGACTAAGATTTTGATCATGGATATGGTTGTGAATCAAAACCATATCATATAATATCATTTTTCATCATACCATACTTGGTGGGATGAACATGCAGAAATCTCAGCCATGTTTAAAACGTACCAATTCTTTGATGCCAGGTTTGACGGCAGCGGGGAAAACTGTGACAAGGAATTTGACATCCTGGGTATCGATTTTAAGAAACAGAAAAGTTGGATGGACCCTTCGGGGAAATAACGATTTCCAACTTTAATCTAGAAACCATATGGGTATGGATCAATACCTATTAATACCATGTTTAGTGGGATGAACATCCATTTACCAGCTATTTTGGGGTTCACTAGGTACCAGGGTTTTGACCCATCCCCATATAATGAATTATGTATCATCAATCTTATAGAGCGAATCACCCCGAGTGTTTGGGAAATTGGTTTGCAAAATCGGGGACATAAGATGATAAAACATGATAAAACATCATTTAAAAAATGGTGCTTGGGTTTTGACAAGGTTTCAAGGGAAGATAATGATAAAACATGATAAACCCCTGGATTTGGGGGTACCTATTTTTGGTCAACCCATCAGGTGACCATGCAACTGAGGAAATTGGAGGGCCAAAAGAAAAACCTTCACCTAAAAGGTGGGGGCCCCTTAAATAGCTAAGTTGGTTTGTAACTCCAAGAACTGTTGGGTTTATGGTAGACACGTCGAATTCGTTTTGTCACTTAAACCCACCAAACTTTTGCGAACTTGGGGGCCCACCTTGTCGTTGCGGCCACCCAGCAGTCTCACCGCGAGGTGAAAAAAGTTCAAGAAGTTGAACTTGGCATGGACGACACCAACATGACCGCCATGACACACATCGATGATGAGGCAGATTGCTGGTATTAAAGCCCACCAACAAAAACTACACTGCACTACGTTTGCAGGTTGCTTGCTGTTGCTGTTTGCCAGGTGTTTTTCGTGTGTGGGAAATACGTACATGTTTACAATGTCAGCAATGCTTTTTGGCACCCAAATTTGTTTGCCGGACGCAAAAGAGAATAGGAAACAACACGCTTCTCTCTGGACAAAATTAGCTGGACATGTTACCCCTGGTAAACTAACTTGTATGTTTTCAAAAGGCTTCGTAGTCGGGGATCATTTCAAATACCTTAAAATTGTTTATAATTGTTTGCAATTGTTTCAACAATTGTTTTGAATTGTTCGCAATTGTTTCAGCAATTGTTTTCAATTGTTCGCAATTGTTTGAACAATTGTTTTAAATTGTTCGCAATTCTTTCAACAATTGTTTAAAATTATTGAAATTGTTCCAACAATTGTTTTAAATTGTTTGATTTTGTTTTAAAAATGTTGAAAATTGTTAAAGATTGTTCTAGCATTTGTTGATTTTTTGAACACTGTTTCACAGTTTCAACTGTTGGTGAACATTGTTTGAACAATATTTACAGATCATTGCCGCAACTGTTTGGAAGCCTTTCAACACTGGCTGTAAACTGTGGCCTTGTTGCTAAACAACTTCTCAGAGTGTTACCTTTTGTTAAATACAACCGACCACATCATACCATGGGTTCTCCTTGACCAAAAATAAACATGTTTCTACAATCAATATTGGGTCTGGATGGTTTCACATGGCCCCTGTTAGCTGCACATCAAGGAAACAAACATACTTTGTGACAACAGTGGCATGCTAACCCATCGCTCTTGCGGCTTTTTTTCCGAGGTTGGCCACGCAGTGTTTGCATGGTCTAAGCTAGAAAGCCTGACTGGCTCCCCTTCGCCTCAGCTGCTATGTAGAGTTGTTGTGGCACACGCGCCAACCTTTATTGAAGAATGCATCTTCAGGTTGAAGTTGGCTCGGCCTCACTGGCCTCACTTTTTTCTTTGCAACGCGCGCAGAGCGCCAAGTTCCCTTGCTTGGCGGCATCGTTTTTTCTTCCCAGACGCATGCTCATGAGGCATGCGCGGTAGTCTTTCTAACACGGGCACAGCCCTGCCACCAAAACACGGCCACAAGGCCTGGTGATGGGACAAGCGGCACCGCTGCATCAATAACCAGACCAGAGGCCGCTAAGGATCGATCTGATCTTGCTGCGGGTCCAGTGGCCTCCAAAGTTCGTACAGGCAAAAGAGGATACAGATCCAGAGCAAAGCAATGCCGCATAGAATCTCAATGGCTAGCAAAAACGACAAAAAGGTCCCCATGGCTAGCGAAGCACTGGCAAAGTCACAGGAGGATTGTATGAAATTAAGACGCGTAATATGGCTCGAGCCGCTCTAGCTATACAGAGGGGAAAACAAGGCATGGGTTGCTTGGGTCATGTCGGCTCACCCATGCCACCTGAAACAAGAATAATTGTTGGAACTGTCGCTGACAAAACAAAAGGACTGAAGAAACTTCTACAGACTGCTTAGTCCTTAGAATTCGATTTAGATACTGTTCTTCCCTAATTTAACCCAAACCTTGCAGACATCACCTTTGCTAAAAACATTACATGAGCGACTAATGACTCAAGTTCTTTGAGCTGCAGGCCCTTTTTTTCTGCGCAGAGGACAGCTTCTACAAAATGAGCGGTCACTGGCTCAGGCAGCGCCAAGCAGCAAGCAGTGACAAAGACTGCAAACCTGGGCTGAGCCCTGAGCGTCACAAGCCGGCGAAGGTTTCCAACGCAGAGAACATGGGCTGAGCCCAGTCTAGCTTTCCAAAGCAGACAGCACTTGCAATGCCGATAGAGCATCAGCAGTCTCCTCTGCTGTAGCGGCACTGGAGGCAGGCCTGAAGAGGAGTGAAGCTACAGCACTCTGGGCAATTGCCAGCAACACTGGCAAAGCCATAGCGTTCCCAGCTAGGTCTGTCATCAAAGCTTCGGTCAGCCATTTCTTGGGCTCACTGTGACGTTTTCTTCGGATGCAGCTGCTAGGCTGTTCGTGCACGTCGATGCTTTTTTTCTCCACCAAAGCTAGGAATGAGCACACAGGAAAGCCTTGAAACAGAAGAGCTTCTTGGCCCAGCATCAACCTGGGGGGCTTTAGCAGCTCCACAAAAAGCAGCTGGCTTGGGAGCATCGTGGGGGCCAAGTGCTTCTTAGTTTCTGTGCAAAAGCTCATGCTGTGCTCCCTGCCAAGTGACTGGGACACATTTCTGAAGCCGGCATCTGGCGCTTGCGCTCTGGAAAGCACTAAGACATCTTGCTCCCTGGCTGTCAGCGTTTCAAACCATTGATTCAACTTTAACTCCTCAGGGTATGGCTGCCCCCACCGCAAGTCTTGAGCTTCCGCAAACTTCATATGTTGTTCTGTCCAGCTGCTCGAAGATTTTTGGCTTTTCTGCGCGGCTCTGTGGCTCTTTCTCTCCTCCAAAAACTCCCACACTTCATTTGAGGAGCAATTTAGCAGCAGCTCCTTGGCACAGGGCGGGGATCGCAGGCAAGATGCGACCATGCTGTTGAACATCTCAAAAGACTTGGTCAAAGACCTGGCCTGCGTCTGCAGTTTGGCATTGACTTTGCGGACGAACAAAATATATAGCCTGCGCCTCCTTGCTGGAAGCCCAAATGCCGCAGCATCTGTCCGCAATGGTTGAGCTTTGTAGCCCAGGCTCGTCATGGCTGTCAGCAAGATGTCCAAGTTGGACTGGGCAGAAGCGCCAATTTGTTCTTCCAGCCCATCCACATTTTCGTACAAAACGATTCCCGGCGAGTGAGCTGCAACATAGCTGGTGAAACCATGGTAAGTCTGGGCTGAACCACCCAATGACGAGGGCTGCTGGAAAACTAGCTTCTGCGTTTCCTTCTTTGGGTTGGCCTTGCTGAAGTCCTTGCAGGACGATCCAATGACGAAAATGTCACAGCCTGGCACTGGACATTTCTTGTTGTGGATTATGCATTCGGCATCACCATCAGCCAACTTCTGGATATCTGCGAAGAGACAGCCGCTGGTGCCTGAATCGCCATCGCTGCCTGGACTGAGTGCTGGAGATGGCGTTCCATCTTGCTTCAAAGGGCCACACTCCAATACTGCTCGAATCCACCGCTGCTTGTCCTTGTGTATCTCACATGAAAAGGCATGCGTCAAAGACACCTCTGGCCAACCAGGGTGAAAGCTGTAAGCCCGGGACACCGCTTCCATGACATAGAAGGCGCCCTCCGACCCGCTGCATGCTGATGCCCAAGTGAGGGGCACTTGGCTTGCAAGAGCTGCTTGTTCCTCAAGCTCCTGCTCGAACATGGTTTGAAAACCTGTCAAATTTTCCTGGGCCATAGCATACAGGGCTTCACCGGAGATGAAGGCATCTGCGTCTGCAACACGGCTAGAAGCCTGCTTAACCAACTCTAGGTCAACTATCGCTTCCGCCTCTGATGCGTGAGAATCGGTTTTTTTCAGCGCCCTGGAAGGAGCCATAGCAGCAACAGGCTCACAAATTCAGGTCTGCCAGCTTTGGTTCTGAGAAAAGGCACCAAGTAAAAGTTGCATGGCATGAGACTCATTGCCTATAGCCTATAGCCTATAGCCGATAGAGTACAGTAAATAGTTAATTAACTGACATTGATGCGAGTGACGTCCTATGTCTTGTGGGCTGGCGGCAAGCAAGCGTTTGAGTAATCTCCCTCCTAGGAGACACGAGCCAAAAATGCCACAGCGAGCAGACTAGGGCCAAACGCGCTCCAAAACTGCTTAGGAATCCAAGCTTCGGACTGTCATGTTTATTGGCTTGCTGCAGGAAAGAAAACAAACACACACACACACACCACAGCGGCTTGCATTCACAGGTACAATTTCAAGTCCCTAAGCCTCAAGCCCTCAATCTTTGTCTGGGCAACCTTTGGCCCTTTGGCCTTCAAAGATCTTGAATCTTAACGCACAAGGGTGGAGCCGGCTACAGCGTGCAAACGATTCCTTTTTCGAGTTCTGGACGCAGCTGGCTCTCAGGGCGTCTCTGGCAAAATGCCGCAGTTGAGCAAAACTTTTCTAGGCCGCCTAGGCCCTTCCTCTGCCTTTTCCACGGCCTCTGCCTCGGGCCGTCTTGGCTGCCGGCTCTTCCGCTGCACCGTCGCCCTCGTCCTCGGTTTCTTCCTTGGACTTACGTTTCTTCTTCTCCTCCTTTTTCTCCTTCTTGGCCTTGTTTTTCTCTTTGTCTTTCTTGTCCTTGTCCGCCTTGTTCTTTTTGTCTTTTTCTTTCTCAGTGCCATCTCTGCGCTTGCTCGTAGAGCTTGGTGCTTCTGTGGCAGCCTCAGGCTTGTGCGCGCTGGTGGCTTCTTGCAGAACTCCTTGGGCCATTGCCAGCAGCTGCTTGTCAGGATCAGCACAAAGCTGAAGCGCTTCAACTTTGCTTTTGAGTGCTGCAGCCACACCTTCCAACTGTTGCCTGATCACTTTCCCTTCATCGGTGGCGGCGCCCAGAGCCCCGTTCCGGAGAAGGCACAAACCAGCCACCATGGCGATATGCACAGAGGCACAAGCACAAGACTTCAGGACCTTGGCATTGAAGCATTCTTCTCCACCTTGATACTTCTGAAACAAGGCGTTGGGGCCATTCTCAGACGGGTGTCCGGGCAGACTAGTGTCTGACAGGTTCTTCAAAGCAGACACGCCCTTCAACCTTAGCTTTTCGTTTTTCCCAATGGATGTAACAGTGTCAGCAAGTTGCTTGGTGAGCTTGGTCCCTTCACTCCTGTACTGCTCTTCGCTGGTGGCAGGGTCAGGCAGCTTGGCCAACATGCTGTCCAGCTCCACAGCAGCAGCCCAAGCTGAAGCCAATTCTGCCACGCAAATCTTGAAAAGGCTGTTGCTCGCGTGCTGCACTGTATCAGAAATCCAATTCAACATCTCAGGCCCGCTGAAAGTAATTGTCTGCATGTCTGTGACCACCTGTGCGGGAGCCGTCCCTGCATTTACCTGCTCCAAGAGCGGGTTCAACTTTTCCCAGAAGTTGCGCAGGGAGAGAGAGAGGTTGCACAGCGCTGTGGAATCTTCAGTTGGGGTTGGATGCTCTGTCACCTGACAGCTGCCAAACATGAAAACACGCACTGCATCAGATTGAGAGATGACGTGCAAAACGCATCTTTTACTTTACGATTTATGATTCAATCAGCCTCAAGCGATTTTCTCCAATGCCGATATTGACTGACATGAGTCGAGCTGTTCGTCCCTAATTATGGTGTACTTGGGCGGCATGGGGGATATGATATGCATTGTGACATGTCAAATCAGAGAAGGAAAGGAAATCGAACCCTGGCCATGGCCATGGCTAAGTAACTTGGAGTCCTTGTTGGATTCTGTTTCAAACGCGATACACAGCAGCTAGAAGCTTGCCTGCAAAAACAAATCCACCACTTCCCTGAGGGGATGGGAGGCAGGAATTTTCTGCATTGTTTCAGCGCGCAGCTGCTTGCCAATCCCAGCCCCCAACAAACCCTTCACGCACTTGGCAACAATCGGGGCCACTGTCTCCAGTCCTTTAGAGAACAAGGTGTCCAAGTCATCCTGAATCGGTTGCAGGAACAAGCTTGCGAATTTCTTTCCTGTGGCATCTTCCACAAAAGGCTGCAAAGTCGCAGGCTCTACCGGCTTGGTGCTGGGCAGGTGCGAAAAGGCTTTGTGTTTGAGGAACACGTGCTGTGCAACATCAACTGCCACCTCACAAGCTGCTTTGTACTTGGAAACTTCCTCGGCAGCCGCTGGCACAAGGGCCCACACCTTGTGTTCCGCAAAACCTGCTGCTTTCCAAGACAACAAGGTTTCCTCCAGGTTGAAAAGCCCAAAGGTGCCACCTGCCAACTTCACCAAGCAGTCGTTACCCAAGGCTTCCGAGAGATAGTTCCTAGATAAGCAACCGTCTCACATCTGATGGCACTTTGCCAGGTCCTCTGTGCAGTTAGAAGTTAGACATCATTGATTTTGTTGCATGTCGTAGACAAATCCACATCAACAAACCAACTCTGGAAAAGGCCAGTACCAATCTCCAACGCTGCATTCGGATCGCAGCATCATTTCATCATGTCATGTCATATCAATGCATCACCATATATCAAATGAATCAGATCAAGCAAGCATGTATCATGAATCATGCATCGAATCATGTCATACCAAATCAAACGAAATCAGACCAAATCAATAATATATATATATCTTCATGAGCTGTGCAACAGCCCCTGGCTATCTTGACCAGCAGTACAAACCGGACCCCACAAGGCTCCTATAGAAAAAAAACATCTGTTTCCTAAGCGCCCTGCCCCCAGGCTCCAGCCCATGCAGGCAAGCAACACATGGTTCTCCATGTTCTCACGGCACACAAGCCGAACAAGGTCGCAAGACCCCGTGCTGAGTAGCTTTTCCAGCTTCTCAAACTCAGCGAACAAGCTGCTGGAAGTTTGCTCATGTTTCTTCTGCTTTTTGAAGCCCTCTGAAAAAAAGGTTGTCTTTTTCACTTCAGCCAAGGCATCCACGGCTGGCACCACCCGCTTCTCCACAGCCATGACTCCTGACTCAGCATCTGGAGGGCTTTGCTTGGGCCAGGCAGTCAAGTGGGACACTGTTTTCCTCAGAGTAGCGAGCTTCTCTTGAAAAACTCTCTCCTTGTCGCCTTGCTCAACCCGCAGCTGCGCGATGGAAAAGAAAGCTTTGCCAGTGTCGTGCTGCAAGAAAAACCTCTGCAAAGCAGGGATTGAATCGAGATCTTTGTTTGCGGTGTCTTGCAGAGCTTCAACCTGCTGGCACAGCGCTGCAACATTTTCCTGCCCAAGCAGGCAACCCACCGTGCAGGCAGCAACTGCCAACTCCGACGCCATGAAGCCGTCTTTCCCACACGCGTCTTCTATGGCGGCTGCCAAATCCAAGCACTCGATCACCCTCGGAGCTTCTGAGCCCAAGTCTCTTGGTGCTTTGCCGGGCTTCAGAAGGGACAGCTCGCTGGCAGGAATCGCCCTCAGGGACGCAAGCATGCGGTTCTCCACTTCCAGGGCACAATGCTTCGCAGCATCTTTTTCCCCCAAGGACTGGGAAAGTGCTTGGATGGGCTCTGATGAAGCCAGGAATGCTTCGCAATATTCTGTGTATTTCCCATACAACAACAGTTTCTGTCCTTGGGCGACGACAAGCTTCAGGATGTACAAGGGGCCCAGCTTTGCACCTCCCCCTGAAGCCTCGCTGTACGCACTGATGTATGCATCTGCGTCCAGACTGGATGCAGATGCATTTGTCAGTAGCTTTGCACATGCTGCAGCCAGATTTCCGAGCTCCTGCAATTCGTCCAGCTGCTTCTCAAACGAATCCTTGTTGTTGGACTTTCCCACTCTGCTGCCTGTCTCCTTGGCCTTCTTGGCGACGCTTGTCAACTTGGCTATTCTGTCGCTAGCCTCTGCACGGAATGCTTTCATTTGTGTGGCACTCTGGGGCAAATCGTTGAATGAAACCTCACTGATCTTTTCCTTGGCTTGCTGGATGGCAGCTTCCAAAGTCTTCAAGGTGCGACTAGCCCGGCCATCCAGAGACAGCATCCCAGCTTCAGACCCGCCAGCCGTGGTAAGGTTGGAAACCTTGGCCACCTTAGCTGGCCTGTGCGACTGTGCACTTGCCCGTTTTGTCGGTTCCTTCACAGCTGCAACAGGTGTCTTGGCAGAGGAGGCCTCCTTTGCCTTGGCCTTGGTTTGCGGCCTCTTTGGCAAGCCTTCAGCAACAGAGTCCCCACGACTGCCTTTGGGGGCTGAATGCGAAAGCAACAAATCCAAGCCTGTTGACTGCTCTTCTTCTTCAGAGCTTGAATTGGAAGAGCTGGTCACATCAGATCCGCTCTCTGCGCCCTTGCCCTCGCTGTTGGTGGGTCCATCGGCAACAGGCACCTCGGCAGAGCCGGACGATGACTTACCCAAAGAGCTGACCACATGGACCAAGTCCGCAAAAGACATTTCGCTCTCCTTGGCTTTGACCGAAGCAGCATCTCTGTCCTTGGCTTGCTTTTGCATGGCTTCCAAAGCTGCTTGCTTCTTGGCTTGGAAAGCTTCTTCTGCAAACATCTCTTGCTGTCCGTCATCTTCAATGACTCGTTCTTCAAGGCCTGTGTCCTCATAGGCTTCGAAGTTATACACTCCTTCTTCACCAATGTTGCGCCAGACACCCTTTCGAAAAGCACCGTCAATCCAGTGGTCCACTTCCTTGGCTGGGTCCCACTCTCCGTGACGGGCGGTGTCCCAGTGGCTGCTCAAAATGAATTGCTTCTTCGGTGCTGTCATCCTGCCACCTTGCTTCTTCGATATCACGAGCTCCCTCTGTGTCTTCAGGAGGTCATCTTTGCTTTTAAGCTTGAACTTGTCAGGATTCTCTTGGTGCTGCTTCAGCCAATGCTTCAAGGCAGCCAAGAAATCCTTGTGTTCATTCTGCGCTGCCTGGTTCGCCTTTTGGCTGATGTGTTGGTAGTAGGTCAAGGTTTTCTTATATTTCTTGTGTTTCCCTAGCAAGCGAAAAACGTTGAAACAAGGCAAGCAAACTTTGCCCTCCGAAACACGCACGCAGTGCTGAGGCAGCTTTCTGTACTTGGCCCAAGGCCGCCATTGCACAGCGTCTGCTGCCTCCCCCACCTCCTGCACCAAAGGGTTGGGGTCCGTGCTCTTGGAAGCGCACAAGTAACATTCAGATGGCTTGCTGTGATTCACCGAAATTGGCCATTTGGAGGAATCAGCTGACGTGGCAGCTTTGCTCCTCCCGTCGCCCTGCTGGCTTCCAGCTTCATCCTCGCTGGACGGGTCCATGGCACACAAATTGCTTGCGTCTCCGACCTTTGCGATTTTGAGCAGGAATCTGCAACGCAGCGAATTTCAAACGACGTGGCACAAATCAAGAATTTGATAGAATTTGAGATTGTCGACATAATGTTTAAAGATTTGCAAAACATTTGTGAGAAAAATTGAAAATATATTAAAACATTTGTCAAAAGAATTGAAAATGTTTTTCTCTACAAATGGTTTGTACGGGTGAGAAAACATTTCGAAATGTTTAATAGCAAATATAAATATAAGTATAAAAACAAAAACGTTTCCTCTACAAATGGTTTGTACGGGTGGTCACTACAAAACATTTCCGCAATTGTTTGCGCGAAACTTTGAATTAGTTGAATTTTGTTTCCCAAATTCTTGAAATTTTGCGTTCTTGATGAACAAGAAATTCTTTTAAGTTTTGAAAAGGTATCTCTTTGCAAAGCTTTGAGTCTTGACGGCCAAAAATGCATGCTGGGCAGAGACACACCGACCCTTCAACGCAGCTGCTTTTCCAGCAGCCACTTGTCTGTCTAAGACAATCTCTGGGTCACCTACGCTAAAATCTAGCAAGCGCAAGCCTCCTAGCGACAAGTGCCTTGAGCGAGCCTGGTTTTCAGGCCAATCATCATCATTCAACCCGGCTAAAAGCCAACGCTTCAGTCGCAGTCTACAATCCTCCTCAGAGAGGTCGCCAATTGTCAAAGCTTTCCTGCAGTAGATGCCTGTGGCATCTTCAGAATTGCTATGCAAACCACAAATCGCACCATAGCCTGTCCGCACACCTTCGCTGTAAATGGGTCCCAAGTTGAATACGCCCCATTGCTCACCTCGTCTGTGACGGACATTGGTGGTATTCTTGACCTCTGCTGAGCATGGCTGGATTCTCAAGGGGGGCAAGGAGGTGGTTCTGCCCTCCCTTCCTATTCTGGACTGAAGAGTTCCAGGCGATTGATGCAAAAAGCTCGCTGGGTCGAAGTGGTCGGCCATTTCAGGCCTAGGGATACCAGTGACGTCCACATCCTCGCTTTCGCAGGAACTTTCTTGACTGTTGTTTGATCCATGTTCAGACCCAGAATCAATTCCCAGCAGCCTCTTTTCAGTGGACAAGGCAGTCTTGGGCCGTTTGCGTGATTTCCGGCCAGACGCGCTAGCATTCTCCGGCTCCGGATTGGCAGAGCGTTTTTTGTTTTTCCCAAGCAGGGAATTCAACGCCTGCAAAGCACGCGACGTTTCTTCAGCTGCTTTTGCCTGTTTCTCAAAAGACTTCTCTTCAAAAGCTGTCACTGCCTGGATGTCAAAACGCGACAGTGAAACTATTCCAGCAACTTCCAAAAAGTGGAATGTCCAGTCAGACGCCAGCTTTGCCAGGTTCACAAACAGGACCCTGTCACATGTCAAATTCAGCGCCGGAGCTTTGTCACTAGCCGCAGACTCACTGAATGCCAAAGAAAATGCAACACCCTGCGCTGCTAGCTCTCCAACGCTAACTCGGTGAAGGATAAGCAACGCAGCCTCCCAAGGAGCCTTCCGTGTGTGAAACATAACAGCGACATCTTTGGAAACATCTGCGCTCTCAGAGTGCAAAGACAGTAGGAGTAGGAGCACTTCCTTTGCTACTGCGTCGGGCTTTGGAGCATGGTGCCTGACAATGAACCAAAACCGGTCATGCAAAGACTGCACCACGGCTGAGCCGGCGTCTGGCAGGCAATGCATACATCCGTCTTTAGGACAAATAGGCATCAAAGGATATGGCTCACGAGGGGCACCATGAAAAGCATCTGCATTTTCAGGTTCCAAGTTATTGTAATTATCTACAAACGCTTTGGACATGGTGCTGACTTCCTGCTGCTTGCTAGCAACAACATGCCGAGCCAATGGAAAGCCATCAGGCGTGCCAACATTCAACGGGCTGCCAGCAGGAAGCGATGGACCTGCCTCCCTCTCTGCAGCTGCTTGGTTTGCTGCCAAAGAAGATGCAACATTTCGAGCCTGCGCCAAGCGCGAATACCGCTTTTTCTCCTCCTCAGTAGTTCTAGCCCAAGCATCCTGAGCAGCCTTCTGACGGTCTTGCAAGTTTCCCGCTGGATTCTGCAGCATATGCTCTCTACTGAAAATGTGCCAGCCATTTGCGCCCCGGCCTTTGGTTCTTGAATGGGACCACACTGGTCTTTTGATATTGTCCTTTGCAGCTTTCGGTTGCTTCAAGACCCGTCGGCGCCACAGTTCGGTGCTTTGCTTGAAACGGCCAGAAATATGTTTGGCACTAATGCTGCTCAGTTTTGGTTTTTGACCCTTCCTGACGGTGGACCATTCAGAAAGCCTTGCGAAAGTCCTTTCGATGAAGGTGCTTGTTGGCACTACGCGCTGCAGCACAGCCTCGAAAAACTTGAGGGTGTCTGGCTCTAAAATCTCGTGCTCTGGAACTGTGTCGCGGAGCTGCCTGGCAAAGGCATCAAGCTGGCAGTCTTTGCAGCTGAAAAGCGTTAGTTTTGTCTGCCTCGATCAAAGGGGCAAGGGCCCAAGGATACTGTTGAAAGGGGTGAATTAATTTCCTCCAACACTGGCCTATGATCAGGCACAGCGTACGACGTGTGATTCTAAGGCGTTCCTGGCTCCAAGACAGAACAGGGCCAAAGGCCAGCACAGCTGGATCCCAGCAGAAGCTTTCAGGCTGGTGGGCCAAATGGCTCATAGATTCCAACGCCTTCAAGGCCGGGCTTAATGATGCCTTGCAAAAGCAAGCCGCCGACTTAGGGCGCAATTCTTCATCTCCTTCATCCACAGGCTCCTCCAAACCGGCATCCTCTTGCACCTCGTCGTCTGGAACCCGCTCAGAGAGCCATGTAGCGTGCTTAAAGAGCGCAAAGTGGACCCTCATTATTGGCTGTGTGAGCACGCACCACAGTGAAGTCATCCAAGCGCTTCGCTTATCGGACAAAAAAAACAAGCCTTCCTTACTCTGAGCCTGGCCAATTTCCTCCAAGCTTTGCTTTGGTCAAGTGGAGCGCCCACAGCTTGACCTTCGTCTTCTGGCCCAGAATCTTCTTCAGGAGGAGGGACAATGTATTTGGAAGCTTCAGGCACCAAGCCGCAAAAATTTTGTAACACGGCAACATGCCTGACACACGGGGCTACCTTTGTCCATTTGTTCAGCGCTGGGACGCAGATAGCGCCGAGCAGCTTGGAATTGAGCCATTCCATGCTCTTTTCAATGCTGGCTTCTCTATCTGCGCAGCAGCCGTTCCCAGCGCAGATGTGGACTGGTGGTCCTGGAGCTGCAGGCGGCCATGAAGGAACACAGAATAGGGGGAGAACGGGAGAATTATAGGTAGGAACTATGACTACAGGGGAAGAACTCAACACAACCAGCTCTCTTGTATATATCATCAACCCATTTCATATCACGTCGTGTCAAATGAGGGTTTATTGGAAAGTAAAAAACAACAGATAGAACAATGAGTTGTCATATGTCGGTTGTGGGTAAACTATGGGCCAATGGGACTATGGGAAAATGGAACTATGGGACATTGTGGGACTATATATGGGCTATGGGACTATGGGATTTAGGGGCTATGGGACTATCGGACTATGTGACCTAAATGGGACTACGGAACTATACCGGGTATGGACCAGTAGATGGATGCGGGTTCAAAACTAATCTAAAATACATTTATTCATACCATCTACAACCTTACAAATGGTAAATACGGTAAATGTTAAACACAGAAACACTTGCTCCATTCCGGCGGCGCTTTTTTTTGGCACTCAGGCGTCTCAATCCGCAGCAGCAGCAGCCACAAAGTGCTGAAGAAGACTGCAGTTTGTAGACACCCGGTCAGAGACCGCAGGCTGCTTTCAAAAGTTGGTCTGCCAGCTTCGGTTGACACCGGGCTGGAAGCCACACATACAGCAGCAGCGATAGCAGTCAGGACAAATCCGGCTCATTGCAGGCAGCCTCGGCCTACCAACAGCGGCGCTGCTTCGGGTTGGGGCAAAGCTCCTCCCCGCCCCACATCTTCAAATAGTTTGCCACCACCATGTTGCTGTTCAAAGCCAGATCCACGGTCCCAGCGCCACGTTTGCCAGACCTGGAGTTCAACATCGGCGGAACGCCGACTCGCTTTCCCCTGCTTTTTTGTAGAGCGTCCAGCAGATCTTTTTGACAGACCACAAATTCGCTTGGGCAGCGGCCAGGTGCACAGCTGTTTGACCATGGTAGGCCTGCATGGCCATGTCTTGCGCAGACATAGAATGCAACAAGCAGCGCGCAATGCGTTGATAGGCTTCATCACCCATTGCCTGCACAGAGGTGTCCATCAACACCATCAGAGGGGTCCACCTGGCAGGTCTGCCGTCGACATGGGTTGTTCTTGACACTGCTTCTGGACAGCGGGCGACTATGGCCTCGACCACTTCTGCCTGGCCAAGACGCACTGCGTGGTGCAAGAGGGACATGCCCTGCTTGTCAGCCACTTCAAGCACTAGCGGTATTGGCATGGAATCCAACCTGGCTAGGAAGCCGGCATCCCGGGAGAGCAACGACTGCAGGAGCTCCTCGCGCTGCTGCTCGGTCACTCGCTCAGCTTCGAGCCGTTCCAGCATTGCCAAGAGAGACTGGTGCGAGACCTTCTGTGCTTCCAAAAGCTCCAGCAGGCTTTGCTCGGCTTGGTCAGACAAACCCTCCACCTCGGCTTCGGCCTTGGCTGACATGGTTGCCGGCTCAGCTTGGACCACAGCAATGCTCGCCTCTGGGTCGGCGTCATAGTCAACTTCCATAGCGGTTTCCGCGCTGCCACCTTAAGATGCAAGCAGTGGCCACAACAAAAAGAAAATTAAACACCGTCAGAGACGTTCAGGTGTGGGGCCTGCAAATCCTGTTGGAAAAGAAAGGGAACCTTACTTTTACTTTTACCGTTTACCCATTACCGGTCGGGATTCCCATCTACCTCTAGATTCTAGATTCTGTCTCAAAAAGAAATTGCTGCCCTAAAAGGATAAAAATTATCCACCAGTACATCTTTTTCTGGGTGTTGGGAAATTGAAAGCACGCTATCAACAAGCAACTGACCATTTTCAAACCAAAAAAAGACGCTGAGGTGCTAGTTGAAGCGCCAGGCTTGGCTTCCCCATCCTCTTGCTTGGCTGCCAGTGTCTCAGTTGGCCTTTCTGCAGCAACTGCAGGCTCTGAAGCCGTCTTGTCCAACGGCGTCTCTTCCTTGACCGCCGGGTCCTTGGCCAACGCCGCCTGAGGCGCAGCCACCTCAGACACCGCCGGAGGCGAAGCTACTGCAGACGCCTGAGGCGCAGCATCGTCAGACGCCGCAGGAGGTATCAACGTCAATTCACTTCCCACCACCACTGCTGCAGTGTTGCCGCTTGAGTCTGTAAGTGTGAGACCAGGCTCAAAGCCGCCAGCAGTGTCCACGTGGCCCTCCAACTTGCGGTTCAATGCGGTGAGGTCTTCCATGAGCATGCGAATCTTCCTTCGTCTCAGCTCCGAGCCTTCACCGCAGCTGCTGGCAGCAGGTGTGGATGCTGGAGTGGCAGTGTCAAACAAGGTCCAGCCCTTGTTTGAACCGTGCACAGAACCCCCATCCGTCACATCGCCATCAGTTGCCAGCTCAAAGCTGCCAACCGTTTCATCCCCAGATGAACCCTCTCGTCTCTTCGCCGCTGGTGTGGCCAAAGACTTGGGCGATGGAAACTTGACTTCAAAGCCGGCCTCCAATGCCTTCCTCCTCAAAGGCACGAACCCAAGCGCTGGCTTTGCGGTGGCCAGGGCGTCAGTGGTGCGGAATTCGGCCTCGACCTCTTCCAGGAAATCCAAAGGTCGCTCGCTGATAGTGCGATAGGCGGAAGGAGGAGCACGGGAGTTGAGATCGACTATGTTCCGCATGCTGGTGAGGTAGAAGGCGGCCTCAGACGCCGACCAGGCTGTAAGCCGAATCAGAACCAAACAGGCCAGCGTCGCGCTTCTGTGAGCGCCATTGTGGCACGCGATCAAAACGCTTTTCCCAGCCAGCAGTAGCGCCACTATGTCTGTGACAATGTCCATGACCTTCTTCAGGGAGATGTCGCCATTGCATGCTCCAGTCCCATCAACAACGTCAAAGACGTATACGCTCGGGATCTCTGGGCGTGCGCCCTTGTAGGCCGGCCACACTGCGTATACTTCGTTGTCAGCCAGGAGTTTGCTGTTGTGAGCGGCCTTCTCACCCCCCAGCCAAAGTCGTCCGAACTGTTGTGTCTCGAAGATCAAGGTCATGGGGTGCCTGACAAAGCCAAAAAAACATGCATGCAGAACTCTGAACCAGGCTAGCAACAGGTAACAGACAAGATGCTCACTTGAAATTAACAAGAAGGATCGACAATCAGATATGATGTGTAATATGTTATATAAGGGTTAATGTTTTTGAGGGGTTAGTCGCTGTAAACCTGCAACTCTAAACATACCATGGGGAAACAAGTTCTAACTAACCCAAAATACCTGAATCAGTAAGCATGTATTATACGATAGTTGGAGGGGTGGTCATATAACCTGTTGGCGCTGGCATGTGTCAAACGCCTTTTTGCGCACCACCATTTGTCCCCAACAGGCCTCTTGTTGTATTCGTCTCTCGCAAATTTGACGCACTCCACAGAGCCATAGTCGTCCACAACCAGGTAGCTGTCCAACTCTTTCGGGACTGTTTCCAAGACAGCTTCTGTCACACTGGAACCAGGCCCAAGGCCGTGAAACACCTTGGCCCGGGCATCGTTTGGCAAGTAGGCCCTGCCAAGGTTTCCAGCCTTCAAGTTTTCCAACGACCTGCAAGCTTGAAAGTGCTTGGACAGGACCATGGCTGTGTCAGGAGCGCGGCCGGTACTGAAGAGGCTGTTGGCGAGAAAAGCTTGGGCTAAAAAAAGCAGCACTCGCAACACCCTGCTTGCAGCACCATAAGGCCACAAGCTTCACTTCAAGCTCACACTTGGTCCATGTGGTCCATGTGAAACAAATAAAGCCAAATGATGTATATAAAATATAAATAATATAATTCAAAATATAACTATGTATAACTCATCAGGGCCAGAAGTTGGAATGCTGGGGATTGAACAAATGGTAATAAAACCTGCCTGAAGATGCCTGCCTCTTTTCAGTTACTACTAGGTAAGTAAGCCTAAAGCAGCACCCCCCTGTCCCAACCCAACAGAAACCCAACCCAGTCCTGTCCATGGGCCGGGGAAGAAAGCCACGAAGTCGTCGATGAACCTGGTCCGAGACCGCTTTGCATGTGGTGTTTCGTCTTCACATTGCAGCATCATGTGCAAAAAATCTTTTGCCTGCCGGCGGGCCACTGCCCATTCCGCTTGCAGTCCAGGAGGCTCTGAATCTATGATCACAAGCTTTTCAGCCAGGACTTTCCTGACTGCTTCTTTCAAATCATTCAAGAATTTTCCCCTGCCCGTGCTCTTGGCCACGCAAAAGGAACCAGGTAGTATACCGAGATGTTTTGTTGCTCGCTCAATAACATTTCCGTTTCTGTGCTGAGCACACAGGCTTGGAAAAACAAAGACGTTCTGCGACACCACTGAGTGCAAGTGCTTCAGCAATCGGATATTTGCTGGATGCTGATCGCACGATACCAGAACAGCTGAAAACTTCGCGTCTGAACCGATGAAACCAGGCCTGAGGCCGCCGTCGTCTAGGCAGAGCGCCCCCCACATGCACGAAGCCGTTTTTCGCGGCAAGGCCCTGGGCGGCCTTGCTATGTCAACTTCCAAATCGTGGCCGGCAGCATGGATGCTCAGTTGGCTGTGGCTGGCCAATATTGACCAGCTGGCTGCACCAGCTTCAGTCAGGGCAACTTCTAATTCTGTTTCGTCAAACATCACGTTCAGAATGTGGTACAGCATGCCCATTTGGCTAAGCCGGTTTCTTTCTGACTGGACATGGGAACCCTGGCAATCAAGAATGCACTTGGCAATAAACATGCGGGCTTTGATCACATGGGCTGCGCTTGCCCCATCGACTTCCCTGGCTGATTGCCTCAAGGTGGCAGTGGCTTCGCCGAAGGCAGACCTCAACAGCGCCTCAGGCGTCCACTGCTTCCAAGCCCCCCGCCCTTTTGGCTTGGGCCTGCCTTCGTCCAGCGGCTGCAAAGGCAGCATGTGGTCCACGGTTCTGTGACGGCCAGAAGCATTGGATGCCATTGCCTGCCACTTAAAAGATTCAGCCCTGTGGTCTTTCGTTTTTTTCTTTAGAAAGTTTTGCCTGCTTCTTCGGGCGTTCATACGGCGGGCCCTTGCCCTGAAGCCTGCAAGGGCACGGCCGCGGCCACGCCCAACACCCCGCCCCAGGCGGCCACCAACACCACGCCCCAGGCGGCCACCAACACCACGCCCAAGGCGGCCACCAACGCCGCGCCCAAGGCGGCCACCACGCCCGCGGCCAGGTCCAGGCGCATTTTGGGCTGGTTGCTGGCCCATGGCTATCCCAGCCAAATCTTGTAAGTTCAGCATTGATCACCCGATGCCCTGCTCAAAAAAACAACAAAATCCAAACTCCAACTACAATTTGTTTTGCAGTTCAACTTAGCAAAAGGCAACTCGAGCCTAAATTGGCGGAGAAGAATGCGCATGTGGGAGCACTTGCGCGTCCAAACATCAAACGCCCAGTTCCCGGTGAGGAAATACACGGCTCCGTGTGCAACACATCATGCCCAGCTCTGTGTGTTAATCTGCTCTTAAGAGTCAGTGGATTAGGACACCAAGTCACTGGATACAAACATATTGCCCACGCTTTGTAGATAAACTGACCCATGTTTGGGTAGCCTGTTGTGGCCACAATAGCGCAAACATGAGCGCGTTCAAATGGTTGCACCTGTTGAATATATGTGTTTCAATTTCTGCAAATTTTGTCGAAAATTGTTGCAATTCTTCAAACAATTGCTTGACATTAAAAACATTTGTCGGTGTTTTTGAAGAAATATTTTATAAATTGTTAAAACTTTTGAAGCAATTCCCGAACAAATAAAACAATGTAACAAACAATTGTTGAAACTTTTGAACAATTGTCGAAACAATTGCGGAAACAATTGATGCATGTTTAAATGGATTCCTTGTAAACCCTCAACAGAAGCCTTTTGAAAACATACAAAAACTAACAGTTTGCTATCGAAAATCACCATTTTACGAACAAAATCAACTATCAATGGCCATTTTCAATAGCGTTTTGATGCTTTTTGTATGTTTACTAGAAGGTAAATCATGGTTATATCCCCATTTTCCTATGTTTTTCAAACCGGGGGTCAACTTTAAATCATGGTTAAATCCACCCTTTTCTCCCAACTTTCTGCTGATTTCCTCCCAGCCAGGCCTCGGGGTTGGTGATCCTGGCACGGCATGAGAAGGCACGGCTGGTCTCCGAAGAGTGGCCTCTTGGCGCCCGGGGGTCCGAAGGGTCCGAAGGTCGTGGGCTGTGAATGAATGGATTGAAGCATCCAAAATGGATAAGAATGATATAGTTAATACTATGATATTTTACATATACAATCATACATAATATATATATATATGTGTATATATACGTATTATATATATTATACACTCTATTATATCTATATTATATAATTACTATATATTATATAACCCATATTTCTATAGTATATATATACAGTTTAAATTATATTATATACAGTAATCCAATAGCCCAATAGTGGTTGATAACTATCTCGAATGGATCATTAGTGGGATATCAATGGGAAATAATGGAATATGAATGGGATATTAACCCCTACAGATCCAGCTGTAGCTTCTTAGGAATGGGGGTGTCTTACGTCATGGGGGATCCCCAGTCGTCACCATAGCTTTCAATGCGAGGACGTCATGGTCATCCGTAACTTGGATGATTTGGGGTACCCGCCATTTTGACAAACCTCCATATATACAAACCTCCATATATAGCATAAAATAGGATTGGATTATCTACATATATACATATACATCCGCATATACATGAAGTTTCATATCTGCATCTATGGAAACAATAGTGTATTATACTTATAGCTATATTTAGATGGGGTTATAAACCAACTTATAACTGGGGCCATCCTGTATCTTCATATCTATAATATAATATTATATTAAATTATATTATATTATATTATACAATATAATACAATATAATATAATATACTATACTATACTGTTTGTTTGGTGGTTTCATCTATTTCTTTGAACCCAAAAAATGAGATGATGATCCCGAATGACGGTTGGTTTTTTGTCATACGGGGTGAAACTTGAAATGTTTGAAGCCACCAATCAGTATAAATCAGTAATTTTCATTGGATATATCGATAACCATTCTAAATAAAATAACTACATATCAGAGAACCATTGATTTTTTTGAAACTGGATATCGGGCCTTCATGGTTTTCATGTTTTTTTTGTTCATCAATTTTTGTTTGTCACTGGAAACGTGGGACCTGGGAAAAGGTCCAAGGTCCGACGTCTTTCAACGGATTGGTTTAGTCGGGAAATTCTTTACCGGAAACCGGGAAACCATCGATTTTGCCATGAAATATGGGGTTTTCCTGTAAATTTTCCATAGTAAACCAATCCATTGGGTCTTTGTTCTGCTCGGCTCAGGATCAAGAAGGAGAAATGTGTCTTTGAGTTCGTGGCCATTTGCACCAAGGATTTGGAGAAAGGCGAGCGGGCTGAGCATGTGACGTCGCAGCGTTTTCCAGATCCAGGCTTAGGGCGTGATCAAAAAGTGGTCCCAGAAAATGGGGGAGTGAAAACCCCCCAGTTGTGGCCATTTGAAAAAGGGAACTATAGGGAAAATTTATGGCAGCTAAAGCAGCTGGATGTGCAGCGCAGCTGGTGACCTCGTTGGCATCCATGGGACCATCCGTGACTTGAGCACGAGTGGCGCCACATGTGGCAAGCTGCCATAGGATGTGTCAGGTGTCGAGGAAAAGCATCACTCAACCACAGAATCACGAACAGCCATCAGGTGGTGGACCATCCTCATGTTCCCCAAATACCTTAAAATCGCTGTATTAAAAGGGTGCCCAAGAACCCCATCTCCCATATGAAACACCATGATTTGTACTTGGGGGGGCATCCCACTTAGTAAAATGGCTCAACAACCACCAATTTTATATATTAATGGAATATCGCCACTCATATATGGATTATAGAAGGGTTCTATATGGATTCTATGTGGATTATATACAGATTCGATTCGTGGGGCCCGTGCATCCAAGTACGCTTATGGCCCAACCAACAGTTGCAGGGTGGGGCCCCATAGTTAGCTAAGTTGGTTTATAACTATAATAACAATAGTGTATGATACTTATAGATAAATTTAGATGGGGTTATAAACCAACTTATAACTGGGGGGGCATCCTGTATATGTAAATGGGATTATTTCATGATATAGAACCAACCAGTTATAGGAGATAGTTCATCCAATTTGTAACTGTTAGTTGGGCCATAACTGTACGGGGTGTTGAATATGAACGGAGGACGGGATGAATGACAGGCACCTATCGCCACTTCTACATGCGGACGGAGGAGAAAGCGGGCCAGACGCCCACGCTCTACGTCGGCTCCCTGGGTCGAGGCATAGGGTTTTAAAAAAACAAGTGGCGAATGTCATGGGGAAAGTATGGGAAAACGATGATTAAACACAGAGATTTGAATATCTTAGATGGATTTACATAGGAGTACTTTGTTTTTAAGAGAAATCCATCAGCTTTATGATGAGTATGAACGTACATGTGTTCCAAAGCGATTAATTTCGTTGTGAAATCCTGAGAACACAATGCAACTGTCAGGATGCAACCCAATGAAAACTCGGAGACATTCAAATTTATGTATAGTTCAACTGGTTTGGTTGGTTTGGTTGTTCGAATACAATATCAAAATAGAAAATGAAGGGAATATAATGGGTTTACATAATAAATGTCACCATGATATTCCCATTTAAAGGTGATTTTCTTTGATTTTCCCGATTGCATTCCCAAATGACTGGGAAACGTTGATCAACTGGGATCGACGTGGAGTCGCTTTCCCATGTTGGCATCATCCAAAAAGCAGAGGTACCTGCAGTCCCTGCATCTAAAAACCACAAAAGCCTTGGGCCACCTGTAATAAATATAGGTATATTATATTTAGTAAATATGAGTAATATTTACCACAATTATCTAATATTTACCAACATTTACCCCCCCAAAATGTCCAAGTTTAGGTATATATATATATGTATATATGTACGTAATACATGCAGCAGATGGGTAGTTGCAAGATCTTCTGGTCGGCGTTTCAGTGCTGAGGATGAGATTCCTGAGACCGCCATCACTGAGCGATCGGACCGTCGGGAATTGGGCCCATGTGGGACTTGGGAGGGAGGGACTTTGTGTGCCGGGCCCTATGGCCTGATAACTGGTAAAAACCATGGTAAGAACCATGGTAAAAACCATGGTTTCCTGCACCTTTCCCTTTTGTTTATCCTGAAGCCAATCTTCACTGGTTTTCTCGTCCCAGCATGACCCCCAAACGGGTAGCATGTGATGTAAACGACAGGGTACCCGAGTGAACTGCCCAGCAAGATCCTACCTCCTATTGTGTTTCGCCTTGGGGATGACAGCAACGTCTTTGTGACAGCCAGGACTACTGGGACTGGGACGTGGTCACCATGGAAGTAGTGTCTACAGCTCCTCTGGACGGCGGCTGTGCTGCAGTCCGTATCAGGACATGGCACCTGATGGGCCTTGGGCCAGGGTTGGGCTGGGGGTTACCTCCAATGTACCTTCAACATCCTTCAACTCGGCGCAAGGAAGTCAAACAAAGGGGTCGCATGATTTAGCATGATTTAGCATGATTTCGCTGAGTCTGTTCTTGTATATTCCACCTGGGCTTCCGGCTTCTGAAATAGATATTCTACATGTCTTGTTTACCCTCTGGTAAACGAGCGGTTTGCTATTGAAAATGGCCATAGAAATAGTTGATTTACCCAGCTATAAAATGGTGATTGTCCAGAGTTTTTGGTATGTTTACCAGGCCGGGTATCCCATTTTCTGTTCGTTCAACAGATGATCTCAGCGGACGGTCTCTGGAGGACCAAGAACACAGGGCCCACCAAGGAGCGCATCCGAGCGCAACTGGCCATGCACAGTGCTTAGTGACCTCAAAGGTCAAGGGGCAATCCCACGATCAGCTGAGGATGTGATTGCAATGGATCAAAAAAGGTGATTGCAATGGAAAGGAAACCTATAAACCACCTCAATAAGCCGACGTAGATCCCCAACAGCGGTTGGTTTCAAACAGTGGTCCAACTTTGCAACCCAAGACGGATTAATGATGGCAGGAACAGGATTCCATAGCCTAAGTCTCTTCGGCGATTTTTTGCCCGCCCTGCCCCGTCCCCTTTTGGACCAAAGGCAAGATGAGACATGTTCTTTAAGAAAGCGCGCATAATTGAATTTACAGACATTTGGTTACAAGCGAATGGCAGTATTTGCAGACCACGGTGTGTCATTAAGTGTTTACAAAATTGTGTGTGTGTTGGTTTGGGATTATCTTGTCGTGCTTGGACAACGTCGGTCAGTTTGCGCAAGTGATTGGTGAAACAGTTGGTTTTGGCCAAATTGTCCATCATGATTCCAGAATTAGTTTCATGTCAATACTTGGTTGTTGTGTCACAACTGGGTCTGAAGTTTCATTGTGTGTTGCTGTTTGGTCACTTAGCTTCAAAAAATCATCTACCTGGCTTCGAGAAGCCTCACACAGGTTTGCTGCCAATATTTAGGTGTTCCAAGGCATCGAACTTAATTGCTTGATGTGGCATGTGCTTTGGTAGATGCGACATCGGAACAGTTCAAACAGAAGATTTTACAGCAACATCAGAACAGGTCAGTCGACCGACGCTGTGCGCCCACTGAGCAAACGAACATGAATCGGCATGTGCGGAACCCGCCACAAAGCACCCAAGATTGGCTGGGAGATTTCCGGAATCCCTTGTGTTCCTGGAACCTTGTCTTCCTGGAACCCTCGTTTCCGGAACCTTGACACAACCCACAGCGTATATTGGAACCCTGGGTTTGCGGAACCGAGACGCGCTGATTTATTGTCACGCTGTGCCCCCCCCTGTCAGCGATTGCTCGTTGACAGGGCCTATATGGTCCTGGAACCTTGGTTTCCTTGAAAATTGGTTTTCTGGGACCCTGTCCGTAGCATGAACCTTGGTACAACCCACGGCGTATATCCGACCCCTGGGTTGTTTCCGGAACCTCGGAACCTTGCCAGAACCCTGGTTCTCTGGAACCTGGGCTGGGCTTCTTGAGAATTGTTGTTCCGCAACCTTGTCCCTGTCCGGAACCTGTGGCATAATCCAGGAAGTATATCCAAACTGTGGGTCCGCATCCGCGGTGGTTCTCGGAACCTTGTCGGAACCCAGTGTTGCTGGAACCTTGCCGGAACCCTCATTCCCCAAACTCTGGGTTTCCAGGATGTTTCAAAATTGGTGTTCCGGTGATTCCAGAACCGCTCGAAACCATGGTAAGGTTCCCGGAACCTTGTCGAAAGCCAAGTGTGCCTGGAACCTTCCTGGCGCCGAGAACCTGGGGATCCCGGAACCTTGACGTCCCGGAACCCAAAAGGTAGCCAGAACCCATTGTTCCCAGAACCTTGCTTGAAAGTCTGGTTTGCGGAACCTGGACCCTTGCCCCGAACCCTGGTTCCCGGAACCCTGAGTTCCGGAACCTTGCCCGGAACCCTGGTTCCCGGAACCGGCAGCGGTTGGTTTCAAACAGTGGTCCAACTTTGCAACCCAAGACGGATTAATGATGGCAGGAACAGGATTCCATAGCCTAAGTCTCTTCGGCAATTTTTTGCCCGCCTTGCCCCCTCCCCTTTTGGACCAAAGGCAGGATGAGACATGTTCTTTAAGAAAGCGCGCATAGTTGAATTTACATACATTTGGTTACAAACGAATGGCAGTATTTGCAGACCACGGTGTGTCATTAAGTGTTTACAAAATTGTGTGTGTGTTGGTTTGGGATTATCTTGTTGTGCTTGGACAACATCGGTCAGTTTGCGCAAGTGATTGGTGAAACAGTTGGTTTTGGCCAAATTGTCCATCATGATTCCAGAATTAGTTTCATGTCAATACTTGGTTGTTGTGTCACAACTGTGTCTGAAGTTTCATTGTGTGTTGCTGTTTGGTCACTTAGCTTCAAAAAATCATATACCTGGCTTCGAGAAGCCTCACACAGGTTTGCTGCCAATATTTAGGTGTTCCAAGGCATCGAACTTAATTGCTTGATGTGGCATGTGCTTTGGTAGATGCGACATCGGAACAGTTCAAACAGAAGATTTTACAGCAACATCAGAACAGGTCAGTCGACCGACGCTGTGCGCCCACTGAGCAAACGAACATGAATTCGGAATTCAGTGAGGGGCCACAAAGCACCCAAGATTGGCTGGGGGATTTCCGGAATCCCTTGTGTTCCTGGAACCTTGTGTCCCTGGAACCTTGTCTTCCTGGAATCCTCGTTTCCGGAACCTTGGCGCAACCCACAGCGTATATTGGAACCCTGGGCTTCCGGAACCGAGACGCGCTGATTTATTGTCACGCTGTCCCCCCCCTGTCAGCGATTACTCGTTGACCGGGCCCTTTTGGTCCTGGAACCTTGGTTTCCTTGCAAATTGGTTTTCTGGGACCCTGTCCGTAGCATGAACCTTGGTACAACCCACGGCGTATATCCGACCCCTGGGTTGTTTCCGGAACCTCGGAACCTTGCCAGAACTCTGACCTTGTCCCTGTCCGGAACCTGTGGCATAATCCAGGAAGTATATCCAAACTGTGGGTCCGCATCTGTGGTGGTTCTCGGAACCTTGTCGAAAGCCAAGTGTGCCCGGAACCTTCCCGGAACCTTGACGTCCCGGAACCCAAAAGGTAGCCAGAACCCATTGTTCCCAGAACCTTGCTTGAAAGTCTGGTTTGCGGAACCTTGGGTTCCTGGAACCTTGCCCCGAACCCTGGTTCCCGGAACCCTGGGTTCCCGGAACCTTGCCCCGAACCCTGGTTCCCGGAACCGGTTCTCGGAACCCTGGTTCCCGGAACCGGCGAAACGAGGCGGCAGGGTCGAGCAGTGCCCCGGAGCACCCCGAAGGCTATGTGGGCTGAGACCCCAAAGCATTCTGCTGTTGGGGAAAAAATCATCTACCTGGCTTCGAGAAGCCTCACACAGGTTTGCTGCCAATATTTAGGTGTTCCAAGGCATCGAACTTAATTGGTTGATGTGGCATGTGCTTTGATAGATGCGACATCGGAACAATTCAAACAGAAGATTTTACAGAAACATCAGAACAGGTCAGTCGACCGACGCTGTGCGCCCACTGAGCAAACGAAATTGAATTCGGAATTCAGCGAGGGGCCACAAAGGACCCAAGATTGGCTGGGGGATTTCCGGAATCCCTTGTGTTCCTGGAACCTTGTGTCCCTGGAACCTTGTCTTCCTGGAACCTTCGTTTCCGGAACCTTGGCACAACCCACAGCGAATATTGAAACCCTCGGTTTGCGGAACCGAGACGCGCTGATTTATTGTCACGCTGTCCCCCTCCCTGTCAGCGATTGCTCGTTGACCGGGCCCTTTTGGTCCTGGAACCTTGGTTTCCTTGCAAATTGGTTTTCTGGGACCCCGTCCGTAGCATAAACCTTCGTACAACCCACGGCATACATCCGACCCCTGGGTTGTTTCCGGAACCTCGGAACCTTGCCAGAACTCTGACCTTGTCCCTGTCCGGAACCTGTGGCATAATCCAGGAAGTATATCCAAACTGTGGGTCCGCATCTGTGGTGGTTCTCGGAACCTTGTCGAAAGCCAAGTGTGCCCGGAACCTTCCCGGAACCTTGACGTCCCGGAACCCAAAAGGTAGCCAGAACCCATTGTTCCCAGAACCTTGCTTGAAAGTCTGGTTTGCGGAACCTTGGGTTCCTGGAACCTTGCCCCGAACCCTGGTTCCCGGAACCCTGGGTTCCCGGAACCTTGCCCCGAACCCTGGTTCCCGGAACCGGTTCTCGGAACCCTGGTTCCCGGAACCGGCGAAACGAGGCGGCAGGGTCGAGCAGTGCCCCGGAGCACCCCGAAGGCTATGTGGGCTGAGACCCCAAAGCATTCTGCTGTTGGGGAAAAAGATAGTGAATAGATGAGAATAGTAAATCACTTTAAATTGGTAGGGATTGTAATGGCTCTTTTGTCATTTTGCAGACCTCTACATTATTCCCGTCTTTCCATTTGAGGAACTAACCTTAGCTATCTTTATGGGAAACTCAAGCCTTGTTCTTTTGTGCATTGCCAGATGTTGCTACATGGGAAGCAAGTCCATTCATCTCCAAGCCCATTCTGAAAGACACGAGTAGATTTCAGTACATGTAGCGATGAAATATCTCAGTAGATTTGGGTATCTCAGTACATCATGTCATTCCCAGTAGATTTCAGTCTCATTTTCTCTGGGAATGATTGGGAATGACCCATGACTTGATGTTCCGCGAGCCAGCTATAGCCACAGGTTGGGCGCTCCTGTCTTGAACGACAAGGTGTGGCATGGCTTAGCAAATTGTAGAAGAGGCTGGCTATCCTAATCCACAAAATGATGAACGTTGAACTTTACATAACTTTATTAAAGACATTCTACTTTCTGCATCTTTATATAACATGTTGATATTCCATTTCTTCATGTTGAACTATGAACCATTGTATCTGGCACATCATTCTCAGTGTTTGCAGTCATTCGCTCGCTGCACACAGCACAGGCGGTCACAAGAGCCAAAGAGGTGAACAAGGAGGTGTGGAACCTGGTGAAAGCCATGGGAAAGACGATAGTCAACCGCAAGTGTTTGAAAGTAGGAGGCAAAATGAATAAATAAATATAAATAAATAAATAAATAATACATATATATATATATGTACATCGGCTACGACCCACAAAGATAAGGACTAGCAAATAACATATAACCTGATTGCTATTATGTTTTTGATCCTTTTCTCACCAAGTGACCGTTCTGTTGGGGAAAGCCTTTGTTCAGAGCCCGCTTTGTTCGGCGGAGACTCCCCGGGATTTGGGCGATCGGGCGATAATCCGTAATGATTGCGATAATCCAAAAAAACCCAGGTTCAACCCATGGGCCCATCACAAGCGAAAAAAAAAATGATGTAAAATAATTGGCGCCATGGTTCCCTCCAGGGTTTTTAGGTCGATCAGAAGGATTCTTTCTCAGACGTCCTGAAGGTGGAAGGTTGGGGGCTTCCATTTCCGATTTTTTTGGGCAGTACAGTTATGGCCCAACTCACAGTTATAAATTGGATGAACTAACTCCTATAACTGGTTGCTTATATATCATGAAATAATCCCATTTGTATATAACTGTTCGTTGGGCCATAACTGTATAGCCCCCAGTTCAACCACTGACTCGACCTCCCCCCATTGCGTCGCATTGCAGGTAGCCAAGGCGGCGGGTCTTTTGCCCGAGCCCGCCAAGCGGATGTACCTCAGCGAAGGGTTATTTGGGGTTCATTCCATAGTCAGGGGAAAGGAAATAAGATATGTTCCAAATACTTACTTACTGGCTGTGTTTTTTTTTGAAGTTGGCTATTCGAGTTGAGGTGCCAAGTCCTACATCTCGTGATGTGCCAATTGCTACAAGATCTACAAGCCAATACTTTAGGCAAGTGAACAAATCACAGCACTGTCCATGAGTTGGACGCCTCCCTGATCTCCCACAGTTGGAAGCCGTAACTCCATTGGCTTCGATCCGCTGATCTCCGGTTCATCCGATGGAAACGAGGTCAGACCCATCCTTGAGCATCATTCCTGGTGAGGACGAGTACAGTTGGGCCTCAGATGGGGTTGGTGGTTTCAAACATGTTTTATTTTCCATTTCATATATGGGATGTCATCCTTCCCAGTGACGAACTCCATCATTTTTCAAGATGGTTATTGCACCACCAACCAGATACAAACTTATTACTATTGGTTTAATCACCATTAATAACCATTCAATCACCATTTAATCAACATTCAACGGTTACTAATGGTTATTACTAGTATGAACCATACAAATCATCATGAAGCATCCAATTTTTTGAGCACCGCATCTTGACCTAAAACCCGTGCTTGGCAGTTTCGAGTGGTTGGCATGTCTCCGGGATGATCCTGCTGATCTTCGTGGGAAACCACCAAGCAGTCAAGAGAAAGGTTGGTTAAATGTCTTGTGGGAGAAAGATTGAGAAAAAACAGTTGGATATTACCCTCAACTATAGTGGTTGGGTATTCAGTGGTAAAGTCACAACAGTTGGATATGTAACCACCAACTATAGTGGTTGGATATTCTCATCATTTCAGATTTGTCACTGGGTCTATCACACCAACAGTTGGTGTTACCCTTTGGTAATTCGATATAGCCATGGAAAATGGCATGTTTGTTTAGATAAATCTAGGTAAATCATTGAAACAATTGTCATGTTCCATTGCAAACTGTTAAATTGCTAGAGGATACTATCCAATCATCCCATTAAAATATTCCATTTATATATATATATATATTTATTTATTTATTTATTTACCATTCATATTCCATTAGATCCCATTCATATCCGATTAAACCCCATTAAATCACATGAATATTCCATTAGAAACCATCAATACTCCACCACTACATCCATTAATAATCCATTAATTTCCATAAATATCCCACTGATAATTAATTACTGCAATGATACTGTGGATGAAAGAAATCCTGCACCAGTTGGCAACTATTGGTTACTACAAAACACTGTGAATAATGGAAGTATAATGGGATAAACCATCTACCAACTGGCGCAGGATTTTCCAACCATTCCATTCTAATCAATCCCATGAATGTTCAAATCCTTTAAATATCCCACTAATACTCCAACGATAATCCATGAGTGATACTGTGGATGGTTACGAATCATGTACCCACATAATATTCCACCAATTTCCTGCCACTAATATTCCGTTAATAATCGCATAGTGGAATATTCTGTGGGTTATTAAATAATACCTACTATCAATAATATACCATAGTTAATAGTTGTTGACAGTTGTTTCATAGTTATTTAATCCCACTAGTTATCCATTATTAATCCACTAATAGTTATTTAATCCTATAGCATATACCCTCTGTTAATCTAACATAGCTATTGAAAATGACCCATTTATAGTAGTTTTACCAATTAAAAGTGATGTGTTTCCATAGTTTTGTGTATCTTTACCAGAGGGTAACATGTCCAGCAAAATTTGAGTTTTCTGTGTCGCTACTGCAAGCCACTAATTATCCATTAATAATCCCATTATTATCCATTAATTATCCATAATATTCTATTATATAATAATATCCAACTGTAATCTGGTTGGTGGTTTGGAACATGAACTTTTTTTCCCATTCAGTTGGGAATTCCATCATCCCAACTGACGAACTCATATTTTTCACAGGGGTAGGTATACCACCAACCAAAATTATCCAAAATTGGGATAATGATCATCCATCGTATCTTTGATCTTTTTTAATTACCTCAAATCGCAATGTTGACCGGCAGTGGCAGAGACGCCTAATCCAATTGTAATTGATTATTGCAATGTGGGCCCCCCCAGTGATGTTAGTTGGTTTAGATTCGCCCCAGTAACTATAGTTATTTGCGTACCATAAACCATAGTGAAATTGGAGTTATGTTCACCAACTTAGCTATCGTTTGGGGGCCCCACTTTGTGATAGTTATTTTCCCCATAGGCCTTGGATTCTTTCTGAGGTGCCACTGCTGCCGCTGTGGCCGCCGTCGCCCCCTTGGGCGGTGCGGTGGATGATGAAGTGCTGCGGGGCCCGTGCGCTTTTTTCGTGCTTGAAGCAACCAAAAGACAGGGATTTCACCCAGAAAAATTGTGATTTCACCCAGAAAAAGTGGGATTTCACCAAGAAAAACGGGATTTCACCAAGAAAAATGATGATATTAATATTAATGATATGGGTATGGATCAATACCTATAGATACCATTTTTAGTGGGATGAACATCCATTTACCAGCTATTTTGATGTTCACTAGGGGGATAGGGTTTTGACCCATCCCCATATAATGGTGATGTACCAATGTAAATTGTGACTTGACCCTCAGGAAAATATGGTGATATCATGGGATTTGATAGGGATGTAACCAACAAGAGTAGTATGGGATTTGCCCTCTGGTAGTCAAACATGGCAAATAGATGTCCTTCATTTATAGATGATTTTCCCAGCTATAAACTTATAATTAGAGGGGATCTATTTGATGGCCAGGTTTGATTAGCAGATAGTATTTGTTTATTTTGGAAGTCCACAACCTTCATTTTTGAAGTTGATACCCATCCCCAGGAGAAAAAAAACTGCTCTGCCCTTTTGATATAGATAATCTATGTGGAGGTGTCCTAAATTGGGGGTACCCCAAAATGGATGGTTTATAACGGAAAATCCTCTATGTCGAAAACTCTTTGTCGATGTTGAATAATGACAGATATACATGTCCTTTTGCTGCTAAGCCACGATGTAAGACATGGCACGGTGAAGAATATTCCGATCGTCTATTGTGATGCACACGTAGAAGCAGCGAGAATGAGGATACCTGACAAGTAATGTCAACCCTTTAGGTGGTTTCCCCAAGTGGTGATTATCTGCTACTAAATCGGTACCTGCCCAATTGAACAGGTACGGGCACATGCTGGAGCTGCTTCCTGCTGAGAAGTATGCTGCAAGCAGGCTATGGTAGCCTTGGTCCTTCTTTTTGGATGGGGCAATGTGTTTTGCGTAATATGACGAAACATGGTACGTCATGTATGTTGACATCAATCAAAATTTTGGCTATATGAACCAAAACATAAATTCGGGGAGCAACCAATTTTGGGTAGTTCAGTGACATACAACGACCAACACGCGCCGTTCATCAATGTTTTTATCTTCGTAGGGACTCCCATGCATTGTCTTGGACAATCTGGACTGAAAAGTGCGTAAAAGTGCTCTTTTTTGGGAGATTCTCGTGGCAACCCATGGTTGCTTATATATATATATAATTATATATATATACATACATACATACATACATACATATGTATATATACATTTATACATATTACAATCAACTGTAAGGATCTGTAGGGACTCGAAGGAGTGATATAACAATCTCTTCATCCGCTCTGACACCTTAAGAACATAAGACAGCCTCTTTTGGAGTATCTCTCAGCTACAAGCCATCGTGATCCTACCCTCTACTCATCCCAATAGAAAGCCTCCATCGACATATCCATAGTCCTTTTCTACCCATGAAATATGGCAATTTCATCATTGACAGCTTTGATTTTGTGATGGTACATCCCATTTGAGTGTTCGTTCTATCACCAGGATACTTCATTCCCCATGGAATATCCAATGAAATCCCCGGAGGGTAAATCTGCCTGGCCACCTGCCACGGCTTCAGGGGCATTCCACAGACAGCCCGTGAGAAGGCCAAGGGAGTGAGAGCACAAAAAGATGATAGCCACCCAGTAGTTTAAGAGCGTTGCTATGGTGGCCCAGGAAAATCCATGTTTTATCTATTAAAAACTATGAGAAATTGTTACATCCTGCTAAAGAAATGGTGATGTTCCATAGCTATGAATTCAACAAAGGGCAAGTTGGCAACATCCAATCCAAAAATGATGTTGACTTACTTCACTCTATCTTGAAACGGGACCTACTAACTACTATACATTACCCATCAAGGACCTAAAATCCCAATATATCCCACATCCAACTTATGCTTGTCCATGCTTGTCCATGCCTGTCCACATGTGGCATAGGCAAGAATTCCAGCCCAGAGAGCCCAGAGAATGTTGCCTTTCTGCCTCTGATATCTCTGATTGAATCTCATGTGAGTTGGTGAAATTTGGCAAGTTGAGCAGGCTTCAATCCACTGTGTCGCTTCAGCCGTTTTTTTTGCTTCAATACCATGGAAAGGGAATTGAATCTTGAAGTCCGGTCAACCTGATTTTTATTGATCCAGTCATCCACATCGTGGAGCCACACTGCCCATGTTTCTCACCCGAGTCATGAGAAACATCCATATTTCTTTTTGGTACAGTCCACATAGTCCACATTGAAATCAAGACTTTCCACCAAGCAAACTCACATGACGAACCATGTCTCTATGTCAGATCCTGATATCTTGGTAAAACCCACGTAGAAATCATATGTTACCACTTTACTCAAATTTCAGTTTCTTGTTGTGTGCAAATGGGTATGGGTATGGGTATGGTATCAACCATCCATTTTTAGAGGTATACCCAATGACTTGACCCATAGCCAAATAAGTTTAGAATGGGATAGTTCCCTACATTTGCTTCATTTTGGGGCCAAATGTTGGTAACATATTCCATGTTGGTTCCATACATTGTACCCAAAAACAATATCCCATCTCATGAATATATGTTGGCAATATCTATCTATCTATCTATCTATCTAT